TTCCCTTCTCTTCATTCTCTCTCATTATTCATCCCTCTTCTATTCACTCTCTTCCCAATTACTCTTTCTCTCATTCTTCCTTCCTCTTCCCATTATCAAATTCCTCTTCCCTTCTCTCTTCTCTTCACCTTCTCCTCTTCACTCTCATTCTCCCTTCCTCTTCCCTTCTCCTCTTCACTCTCCATCTCTTCCTTCTCCTCCTCTTCCCTTCTCCTCCTCTTCCCGACCCTTGTATTAGAAAGAGAGAAAAAGAAAAATCGGGTTTCTAGGTCATCCGAAGACGAATGCAGGTCCGCCATTTTAACGACTGAACGACTACGTATTCTAACCACGCGACGACTCTTTGTGTCTCTGATTCATATTCCCGTCGCGTGAAGGTGGGCGTGTGGGCGGGCGGGTGGTGGTGGGCGTGCGTGTGTGTGTCTGTATTCCCGAGGTGTGGGTCTTTCTTTTAATGCGTGGTTATTGTCAGTGTTTTTGTTTGTTTGGTTTTTAGGTCGGTTGGTTAGGTGGTTTTTGTTCTTATGTTCGGGGGATTGTGTTTGTTTGTTTGTTTTGTTGGTAATATTAACCTCGTTATCCCATTCTTTCCTTTCAGAAAATTATTCGTCGAAATTCTTTCCATCCTAACCATTCATCTAACCATTTTTTTTCTTCTTCTCTCCTGCATCGCCTCCTCCAGGTTGGTCGAGAGCCTCCGAGGTAAGCTGACGTGGCTGAGCGGCGAGGCGTCCTTCGTGGAACACCTTCAGGCGCAGCTCAACGACGCGAAGAGGGTCCTCCAGGACGCAGCCAGCGAGGTCGCCGCGCTAGACGTGTACCACCACGATCACGCCGGCCGGCAGGTAAATGCGAGAGGATGGTGATGAAGAGGAGGAGGAGGTACGAGAGGTGGAGGTGGAGGAGGATGGTGGGAGGATGGGGGAGAGGGCGATGAGGGTAGAGGAAGAAGAAGAATGGGGTAGGAGAAGAATAGGAGGAGAGGAGGACGAGGACGAGGAGGGGAGAGAGACAGGTGATTTTGAAGAGGGGGATAGACGGAAGAAGGGGGAGAGGAAAAGGGAGGAGAGGTGGGGAAGAGAGGGTGAAAGCAGACGGGGGGAAAGAAGAAAAGTGAAGAGGAGGAGGAGGAAGATGAAGAAGATTAGAGGAGAAGAGGATAAGAGGGAGATAACAGGACGCAGAAGGACAGAGCTCGCGTAGGAGCAGGCTGCTGAGGTCTGGCATTGTTGATTCCCAAGGCGGTTCCGTTGCGGAGTGGAATTCCAGGCATGAATCGCGTCTCCTTGGGCGCCCATGGGAAGACGGGCAGGTGGCCATGAAGGAGGGAGGAGGGAATAGGGAAGGAGAGAGAGAGAGAGAGAGAAGGAGGCGGAGAGAGGGAGGGAATGGGAAGGAGAGAGAGAGAGAGAGAGAAGAAGAGAGAGAGAGAGATGAGAGAGAGAGAGAGAGAGAGAGGAGAGAGGAAGAGGGAGGAGGAGGGGAAGGAGAAGAGAGAGAAGAGAAGGAGCGGAGGAGGAGGGGAGGATAGGGGAGGATAGAGAGAGAAGGAGGCGGAGAGGAGAGGAGATAGAGGAGGGATGGAAGAGGCGGAGGAGGAAGGGAAGATAGGGGAGGGATAGAGAGGAAAAGGAGGCGGAAGAGGAGGGAAATGGGGAAGGAGAGAGAGAGAGAGAAGGAGGCGGAGGAGGAGGATAGAGAGAAAAGAGCGGAAGAGGAGGGGATGATAGGGGAGGGATAGAGAGAGAAGGAGGCAGGAGGGGGAGATAGAGGAAGGATAGAGACAGGCAGGAGAGGAAGGGGAGGGGAGAGTAGTACACGGAAGGGAAATGGGGAGAGGGTGAGGAGGGGAAGAGGAAGGGGAGGGAGTGCGTGTATGAGTGAGGAGGAGGATTTTGAGAGTGAGTCAGACGTAGGGCGAGGGAGAGGGCGAGGAGGGGGATAGGAGTGAGGGTGGACGTTGGGGATCCACATCGGTTCTCGTTCTGGTGCAATCGACGGCCATGGTGGTGGTGCACCGCGTGGTCGGGAGCATATCGTGTGTCTGTATGTGAACGTGTGAACGTGCATGTTTGTTTATGTGTTTGTGTATGTCCGGGTAGCAGTTGACGTTTATTTAGATGCCGTTGTGTCTCTTTCGGCATTTCCGGGAAAGCAAGCAAGCAGGCATGAGATGAGGGGGACACTGAGGGGGGGGGGGGGCGCGAGGGGGAGGGGTATGTGGCTGTCATCGCCCCGCCCACCGCGGTCGGTCTTCACGCCGCGATGGGCTTTAAGGGCGTGAAAGTGGTGGTTGAGATCCCCACCCTCCCTTCCCTTGCCGTTTCCTCTTCTGTCCAGCATTTTCCTCCCCACTCCTCCCCTTTTCTTCTTATCTCTCCCCTCTTCTCCTACACCTCCTCCTGCTTCCTGTTCCCTCCCCCTACCCCCCTCCCCCTGCCTTCGACTCGCACGCCGTTGCCTCCCCCTCCCCCTGCCCCTCAATGGCGCCCTTACGGCATCGGCAACGCAGCTATATGTAGCAATGTGGCGGAGGGCTTGGCACCGTCCCTGGGCACGTTGGCACTTCACCTGCCCTGGCACCCTTTTCGTGACGATTCCCCTGCCTGAGGCCTCCCCGGGGCGCTCTTGCATCACCCCACGCTCACGCCACCCGGCCGCGCTCGCCTGATCCCGCGACGCCCATCCAGCGTGCCCACAGCGCCTCTCGCCCCTGCTTCAGCCCCTCTTCCTCGATCACACGTTTCCCTTTTTCCCCTTTGGTTGGTGTCCGGCTGTCCGTCTGGTTTGTTTCCGCTTGTTTTTTATATATATATATTTTTTTATTGATCGGATCCAGTGGCACGTGCAGCCCTTCACGCACAGCCACACACACGTTCCCGATCACTCGCCGTACGCGAACACGGGACACATACACTTTAATCCACTCTTGGGGGTTAGCTGTTCCTTTACTCATTTTTATCTCTTACTCACACGCGTCGACGGACTCACGCACTTACACACGCAGAAGCATTCACTCACCCGCGTTTGGCGCCACGTGCAACAGTCTCGACTTGTCCCCCCTTCCATCCCCCTCCTCCCTTCCCTCTCTCCCTCCCTTCTGTCTCTCCCTCCCCGCACCCTCCCATTCCCCAGCTGGGCCCCACCTGCCTCCGTCCCCCCCTCCCTCCGTCCTCCCCCCCTCCCTCCTGCCTCCGCCCTTCCCCCCCGCCCTCGCCCTCCCCCGCCCCGCCCCTGGTGTCCGTGGGCGCGCGGCCAGCAAGGGCAGAGGAGTCAGTGGGAGCTGCGAGCCCTCGTGAGCAGGACAGAGAACCCTTTCCCTGAGCGATATGAACGTCGGCGCGTACGATTGCGGGCGAGGTCGGAGAGTACACTTGCGGGACACACTTACGACGGAGGGTGGAAGGTGGAGCGGATAGTGCGAGGGATCCACTTGTCCCTCCCCCTCCCCCCGCCGCCGCCACCTCGCGTCGCCCCCCAACCCCATCGGCGTTGTCTTGACATCTACTTTTTAGCTTGACGCGGGGGGTTTGCAGCTTCCACTTTTAGTCGGAGATCGAGGAGTGATTTTACTGTGATATGGATACTTACATGTGATATTAATTGTACTGTGACAGTTTATATATAGAAAGACTGTGTATACAAGCCTCCTTCCCATATACACGAGGGAAGTAGTCGGAAAAGCAAAGCAACAGCAAGTTTATTTTTCTTTATCATCTTTGCCGTAGATTTGGATCGTGTGTCTCAAGCCTCGAGTGAAGCCAAACAGCTCATCAGCAAGACCAAGAGTCACTACATAACGGAGAACAGGTCCCTCCCACCGGAGATAGCAAGCCAGGTACGTCCGTGACACCGTCGTGTGTCGTTTGACTCGTGAACTGTCATTTCCCATGCCTTGTTTCAGTCTCTCTCTCATTTCCACTGTTTTGCGTCATTGTTTTGCTTCGTTCTCTCCTGCAGCTGTCAAATCTTGAGTTAGAAGCGGAGAGCACGGAGGCGAAGATGGATGACCAGCACGTGGAGGCGAAGCGGGCGCGCACCATCCGCTTCGAGTACAACCGCGACGTCGAGTCCGTGCAGGCCTGGATCCAGTCGGCGGAAGCCAAGGTGCAGGACAAGACCGTCGAGCCTCACAAGCTCAAGGAATTCCTGCAGGAGATCCACTGCGAAATCGGCAGCGTGACGGACCAGCTGGAGAGGCTGACCCGCCACGGACACATGATCTGTCAGCGCACCAGCAACCATAACGAGCGCGAGCTGGTGGCTACCACCATCACGTCCCTCACGGAGCAGCTGCAGCAGGTGCGCAACTGGCTGGAGGACAAGAAGGCGCAGGTGGGCGACTCCCTCGAGTCGTGGCAGCAGTTCATCCAGCTTTACAACTCGCTGCGAAGCTGGGTGGAGAGGCAGAGGAACTTCCTGTCGGAGCCGCTGAAGTTCGCCACGCTGGCCGAGGGCCGCGCCAAACTGCAGGAGTATGCGGTGAGTTTTTGTTTTCTGGTTTTCCTTTTTGGAGATGTCTGCATTTTATGATGAGATTCATTTTGATTCGGTAAGTCGCTTTTTTACTTTTTTTCTCATTTGCGATTTCCTTGCTTCGTCTCTCCTCCAGGCTGCCGTGAAGGACTGCAAGTGGGCCAGCAAACAGGTGTCTGAAATGACATCAGAGCTGGCCAAAATCAGCCAGATTTCGAACGTCGGGCCCCTGACGGACAAGCAAGCCGAGATGGAGCAAGAGAAAGCGGACGTGGAGAGCAGCCTGAAGGAGCTGATGGCTCTCCTGCAGGAGATGACCGAGGAATGGGAGCAGTGCGAGCGGAAGTCGAAGGACGTGGCGGGCTGGATTGAGAAGACCCGCCAGGCGCTGGACAACCCGCAGAACAAGAAGCGCTCTCTGCGCGACCAGCTGGCCTCCCGCGAGAAGGCGCTGGCCGACGTCACCATCCAGAAGACGAAGCTGGTCATGGCCATGGAGAAGCTGCAGGTGCACTTCCGAGACCGCATGTGCGCCGAGGCCCAGGTGGCCCACGAGAACGAGCTCCTGCAGGCGCGGCTGGAGGAGTTGCAGGCCACCGTCAAGGAGGACTGCAAGACGCTGGAGGCCTGCGTCCACCAGATGGATGCCTACCAGCAGGTAAGTATTGTGAACATACATGCCGGGCTACTTTTTCTCTCGACGGGTGTATGGGTCTGCGGAGGCGACTCGGAGAGCTCGCTTGGCACACCTGAGGAGTCTGCTTGCACTCAGGCGCTCGACGAATCGTCTTCTTTTCTGTAACCAGGGAAGACCCTTAGGTGCCCAGGGGCGCTCTCCCGAGGGACCGACCGCAGGCTCATACCTTAGCGCCTTCATCTCTCCAGCAGTCATGACGACATAACAGTAGCCCACGACCCGCGTTTTCTGCCTTTCCTTGCTAATTGTACTTCCCACTTTAAAAACCAGGAGATTCAGCGGCTCCGACAGCAGATGGTGCGCGTGGAGCAGGAGCTGAGGGTGGTGTCGAGCCCAACGTACAGCCCCCGTGACAGAGACAAGGCCGTGGCGGAGCAGAACGTAAGTGTAATGTCAGTTACCAGATCGTGTCGGTGGTCACTAACAGAACTGCTGCCAGACCTCAGTCGGAGGGCGAGGAGGGCGTTAGGCGGCGAGTCCGCCCGGCGCCGCTGGCTGGCCTGCGGGGGGCGCGGCCGAGGGTGGCGCGCCTCGGCCCTGGCTCGGCCGCCCTGACACCTTCCACAGACCCTGCGAACCAGAAAGTCCGCAGTTGCATAGATATGCAAAGTTGCGCTTCCGTGCAGCTTGGGTCCTGTGGATGGCTCAGGAGGCTTGAGTGGAGGGCGCTGAGACGGTCACTCTCGCCGAGCTCCCGCGCGCGCGCCAGCGGCGCCGAGAGGCCTAACACCCTCCGCAACATACATGTTCAGAGCGTGAATAACCCACTCACAAATTCACCCAAAATCAAATGGATCTTCACACTTAAATAATTAAATATTTAAATCATGAAATATTCACATAATAAATATAAGAAAAGCATTAATAAAATACATAATTTAAAAACAGATAACAACAACCACGCGGTGTTCTGGTAGTCCCCATCAACTGATCTGTCTTGTGCATTTTGCCATTTGTAGTAATTGTTGACTGAACTGCAGAGTACACTCAGTCACTCAAATATAGCTGACATATTCGGCATTGTTAAAAATGTAACGTAACTGTTATAGAAGTAGAACATTCGTAGTAAAAGAAAACGATCAGTAAACAATGATTCATTATAGATTGTGTATATAAGTACATTAGAAAATAATACTATTTTTTGGTAGAGGATAAGTTTACACTGAACGAGAGTAATATCTAGTTACAAGGTGGCTGCTTTCCATTTCTTGTTTCCTTGGTTCTGAACAAATCATTGAATGGTGTATCGCATAACTTTGTGGGAGCCAACATGTCATGCTATGCTGCAAGATGCTCCAGATATTAATCAGTCTTAACAGCTGTGAGCCTGGCGTGCGTCGGGCCCCCACACCACCCCCCTTTCTCTGTGGTTTTGTCTCTGGTCGTACTGTGGCGCCGCATTCGTGACGTCATCCCGCGCCTAGGGATGACGTCACGGAAGGGTTATGATGTCATTCCTTGCCTATGAGGTCACCGAAGGGTTACGGGAGCACATCCATTCCTCATAATGCGTTCGATGATTTTATGAAGCATTATTTCCCTCGTTCGCATTTGTTTTCGTTGTGTGGCAGACGTGACATCATGACCCAAAGCTGTTGCCAGACCGGGCCATCCTCCTTTGCATTTGTCTAACGTTATCATGGACGTGGTTATCGTTGTCTCAATATTTCTCGCTCTTTTCAAAATAACCAAATCTCTCTTAGATGTTGATTAACCAGCTTTTAGTGTAGCTTTGGGTTTTAACACTTATCTGAATGTTATACAAATTTATTGATATATTTATATATATACATATTTCTTATGAATATATCTTACATGAATTATTGATAATTGGCTTCATATGAACTAATTAAAGGTGATGGTCGCATTAATGCCCCAATATAACAGGTAATGTAAACAAAAAAATTGACAATGATGATTAACCAAAAAAAAAGCAAATTAATCAAAAGAATAGACTGCTTCTGGTATAGGTTTCTGAACTATTGGCATTAAATACCCACTCACAGGCCTGCCGAGAGAGGATTAAAACCATTCAGTCGAAGATCAGTGCGCGAAATGAGCGTATCAAGCTCCTTAACCAGCGGGGCACTCCTGACGCTGCGCCCCTTGACACGTAGCTGGGCGCCTGCCTCTCGTCTCCCTCACGCCATCCACCATCCTAGCTTTTCTAGTTTCGCTCTCTCTCTCTCTCTTACTCATCATTAATTTACGATTTATGATCAATCATCCTCATACATTATATTTGGATTTTATATATATATATTTCTCTGTGGTGCTTCCCTCTTCCGGTTAGGGAACTGGGAAATGAAACGCAGCCTTGATCAAAACATTCCATAGGGCCGATTCTGGTCCGTGTCATAGGTAGCATAAAGTTTGTTTCCCTTTTCACATCCAATCCTTTTAACACTTTTTGTGTAAACAAACAAAACACATTGTTTTATGCAATGCTTTTGTGTGTCTCCAATCCACTCACAATGCCACTCTTCTTTGCCGGGACTGCATACCACAGGTGCTCCATGGCCAGTATGAATCTCAGCAACGACAAATTGTCGAGCTCACCCAACGAATCTACCAGATTGACCCCAGTGCGGTGATTCCGACCGAGCTAACGCTAGACACGACCGAAACGAGCACTACTCTTACCTCTTCGCTTGACACGCCCCCCGACGAGGAGGCGGCCCAGGCTTCCCTTCTGCAATCTGCCAGGCCTGTATGTGCGGCCGACTCCTCCGCGCAGGACGTCCAGGTTGTGATCACGCAGGACATCATTACAGGCGACATGGACGCCATGGATTCCGAAGTGAAAACGCTGACGGCGCAGAGCACGAGGAGCGGCCAGGTGCAGGTGGACGGCCGCACCATGATCGTCACTCCCGACGCGGGGCTGCAGATAACGTGGGCCGACGTGGCGGCGGGACGCAAGAGTCCTTGCATATACGGCCAGACCTTCGAGGATGGGAGCGTAGCGCCTCCTTCAGTGTCCCCAAGTCAGTATGCTGGAGAACCCAGCGCGACGCCAGAACTTAGCACGTCGTCGTCCTTGCCTGTGACACCAACTTTAAAAGAGGAATCAGTGAGAGAGGAAAGTGTTGTTGTAAGTGTTAGTGTTGATGAAATGCATGAAAGTGTCTCTGCAGAGGCTGACACGACAGCCACTGCTAGTCATGCTGTAGGGCCTACCTACAAAGATGAAAAACAAGTGATTCGTGACCGTAGGAATCGTCAGCAAGACCGCCAACAACAGTTCGCCAAGACACAGAAGTCTCAGAGTTTCGAGCAAGATGCAAAGGCGACCCGACGTGTTCAGCAGCGGGATCGTCGGCACCGGAAGAAACAGCCGGGAGAGCAATCGGGAGATCGTCCTTCTGAGGTTCAGGAGGAAGTCTACTATGATGCCTCTAGCCGTAGGAGTAGCCGAAGGAGCAGTCCAAGAAGTGCCCCATACCCCAAGCCCAAATTTAGTCCAAGAGAAAGTCCGAAAGATACTCCCATGGTTACTCCGAAGTCCAGCCCTACCCCCAGTCCAAAAGCAAGCCCTCAAGTGAGGCGACGCGCTAATCAGAAGATGGGAAGTAGGACTGAGATGATAGAACAGCCCAGGAAGATTGTCCAGGAAGAGAAGGCTTACAGGTCTGTCCCGACAACACGCTGGGATGGAAAGATCACATATGCTGATATTCTCAAGGGCAAATTAGAAGCACATGGACGACAGGATGTTGACGATAATACTATCGATTATGGGACTGTAGCTCAAAATGTACAAGCTCAAAATGAGGTCCATGCAGTCAGTATGGCCGAAATAACTAGTCAAGTCACTTCCCATACTGTAACTACCACAATGGTCTCTTCGGCTGTTGTATGTGATATGTCGGAGTCTATGACCCACCTTGATCAAGAGGAAGAATGTGCTGTACCAGATGAGATGCTGCCCATCAGCGACACTGTAGATTCCCGCACTATCAGCCAGCACCAACCTGAAGAAGTAGTCATGCCATCATATTCAACTTACTCTGAACAGGACGCCTACCTTATTGACAACATAGCAGCCCCTCCATCTCATGGAGATCCTTCATACCAGGAGGCTGCCACTGTGCCCATGTTCCAGCATGGATACCCGGTGGATGTACAGAACATACAGCCTCCCATGAATCCCATACCGACAATGGAAAATTCTGTACAGGGTATTGTCATGAATAGTAATATCGACCCCATCAACTTTTACCAGGGAATGGGCCAGTATCCTGTTACAACAAACTATGCACCTGAGGGATATAATGTGCAATCGTATGGTCAGATAAATGACTATCAACCAACAAGTGAGACTAGCAATGACTACTCCAGTGTAACTCTAGAGCAACCTCCTCCCGAGGACACCACCACTGTGAACGTAATGACAACTCAACCAGCTGTGACCCCACCTATGATGACCCCACCTGAAACCCCTGATCAGTACCAGGAGGAGGAGGAAGTAATAGAACAAGAAGAGCCAGTGCAAGTCCCTTCCATGGTGTTTGAGCCAACTCAAGCTCAAATGGAAGAAAGCATGGCCTCCAAGCAGATACCTCCTGAACTCAAACAACAGGCATACATCACCACAGAGCAGCTTCAGTCAGTGATGGCAGACCCAGCATCGGCGAGGCTGTCATATGCTCAGATCCTTGCAAGAGGTCTAAAGGCGGCCCCTTCAGCTGTTGTCACACATACATATGGAGCACTGAAATCAGTCATGTCATATGTGAAGGGACCAACTCCTGAGAAAGTTACACAAACTGAACATAAGATCGAATATGGAGAAGCTCCTGGCAAGCAAATTATTGACTACCAAACTTCAGTCACACAATCATACACATATGATAACGATAGATCACGAGGTAAGAAGAGGACATATGAACCTAAAATCGAAGTCCCTCCAGTCAAGATTACAGAAACAAAGGAACCTAAGAAAGAGGAGGTTCAGCGCCCTGAGAACTACATCCCTGGCCTGCTCTTCAAGGAGGACGGGAGATCTCGTTCCAAGAGTGCCCGAAGAAGGAAGGCAGAAATGGTCTATGAGGTGGAAGAGGTCCCCGAAATCAAGAGGGAGAGGAGCACAGAGAAGCACAGACGCTCCAGTGAAAGAAGAGAAGTGAAGAGTAAACGAGAAGTATTCTTTGAAGAAACACAGCCTGAAGAAACCCACATGGAAGTCACATTGCCTGTGGCACAAGATGTTTTGTCCACGACAACCTCACGATCTTCTAAGAGCAAAGATGAGTTTGTGGTTACAGAAATACATTATGAAACAACTCCTGAGACGCCGTTTGTGATTGATCACTGGGAAAACCAAGAAAAGAAGGAAGAAAAGATTGAAAAAATAAAGCAGAAGACGGTTACTGCCGATGAAGAGGATATGAAACATGAAGAAAATGACACCAGATCTCTTAGTAATGACACAAAATCACATGACAGTGAAGAAAAGCGTAAGAAGAAGAAGAAACGCAACAGATCTAACCCAAAAGAAGAAGAGGAAGATGAATTAGAAAAAGCACTCAGAGAAATTGCAGAAATGGAAAGAAGTGGCAAGATCCAGCCTCCTCCTGCTCCAAAGGAAGTTTCTGTTGAAGATGACAAGCCGAAACGCCGAGGTTCAAGAAAGACAAGGAAGACTGAACAAACCTCATCAGTGAAACAAGAACAAACTTCTAGCGACACATCACTAAACGAACAGAAATCAGAAGCGACAGTTAAGCCTGAGAAAGTCAAGAGAGCCCACAAATCTAAGACTGCAGAGGATAAGAAACCAGCTCCAGAAACCAAGACTAGCGAGCCTGAGAAGCGCAAATCCGCCTTTAAAAAGGCCAAGAGTGTGAGCTTTAACTCAGATGAGAAAGAAAAAGAAACCTCCAAACTGTCGCAAGAGACAAAGCTGGCAAAATCAGATCATGAGGAGACAGTGGTAGAATCTGCGCAGACTCAGATGAAGGAGGAGCAGAAGTCACCTGTCCCTAAGAAATCTAAAGTTTCTTCTAAACATGCAAAGAAGCCTGTTGAAGTATCAGTACCTGTGCAAGTGGCAGTGTCCTCTAACGACCAACCTAATGATGTCCCTGTTGACCCTGTAGCTGATGCTCCTAACCTATCCCTGTTCGCCCCCATAACTCCTGTAGATACTTGTTGTGTATCTTCAGTAGAGACTCCCTTCTCCCCCTCTGAGGCCATTCAAGTTGAGACCAGTGTCGGGTATGATGAAAGCATTTCGTCAGAGATGGTTGTGAAGGAGCAGGAATGGAACCTCTCACGTGATGGTGCGGCGGTTGCCCCGTCGGAGAGGTTACTTGCCTCAATTACATCTCCTGACCAAGTCAGCGCCTGTCTGGAACTCAAAAATGAGGGTGGACTTCCCCTCAGCACTGTGGACACTCATGATACTTGTGTGGAACTGAAAATGACAAGCGTTTCTACTTCCGAGGAAACAGCACCAGCAGAAGAAATAACTGGACCTCAGACTCAAGAGAAACCAGCAGAAAAACCTGCCTTTGCACTTCCCATGCCAGATCATGCAAATGACTGGATGGAAGTCATAGAGGATGGCGGTTTTACTCTTGAGGATGAGGATGAGGATATCGTTGAAGATAAACAAGAACCTGTCGCCGAGGTCCTTGCACCTACACCTGAAGAAACTAAACCTGATGTGGAGTCAAGTATTAAACCAGCCTTTGGCCTTCCGATTCCTGAACATGCTGGAGATTGGATGGAAATAATTGAAGAGGGAGGTTTTACACTGGAAGATGAAGATGAAGAAACAGTAAAAGATGCAGTTGAAGAGTCCCAGCTAAGGAAAGTAAAGACAGTCACAAATGAGACAATCAGTATCCCTGAAAAGGAAGAGAAGAAAACAACTGAGGAATCTGAGAAGACCACTGTTGTGAGAACTATCAAAAGAATCATTAAAAAGATTGTGATCATTGACGGCAAGCCTGTAGAGACTGAGGAAGTTGTGGAGGAACCTGAAAATGCTAGTGAGGCAATGGATGAGGGAACAGTTGGAGAATCAGTCATCACCAAGACCATAACTGAACCAAGGGAGATAACCACCACCCGCAAAATCACCAGGAGAAGAATAATTAAGAAAATAATTATGGTCGATGGTAAACCTGTCGAAACTGAGGAAGTTGTAGAAGATCCTGAGGAAGTGAGTGAGGATACAGAAACATTGCCAGGGGATTCGAATATTACTGAGATAATGACAGACCCAGAAGTGACAACAAGAATTGTAAGAAGAATCATGAGAAAGCGAATCATTAAGAAAACTGTCATAATCGATGGGAAACCTGTAGAAACTGAGGAGGTTATCGAAGAACCGGAAGATGTTTCAGAGGAGATCGTAGAGGGAACACAACCAACAGAGTCTATGATCACTAAGACTACAACAGAACCTGACATGACAACCACTCACAAAATCATCAGGAGAAGAATCATCAAAAGGATTATCATAGTCGATGGTAAACCTGAGGAAGTTGAAGAAGTTGTGGAAGAACCAGAGGATATCACTGATGAAACAGCAGAGAGACAACCCTACCAATCTGTCATCACAGAAACTATTACAGAACCTGAGGTGACCACAACTAGAAAGATCATTAGGAAGAGAGTCATCAAGAAGATCATATTTATCGATGGTAAACCTGTCGAGACTGAAGAGGTTGTTGAGGAACCCGAAGAGATTAGTGAAGAGGAGCTGCAAGCTTTACCTGAAGGCTATGTTACCACCGAGACCATCACAGAACCTGAAGAGGTGATAACAACTCGCAAGATCATTAGGAGAAGAATTATCAAGAAGATCATTATAATTGATGGTAAACCTGTTGAAACTGAAGAGGTTGTTGAGGAACCAGAAGAGATCAGTGAAGAGGAGCTGCAAGCCTTACCCAAAGACTATGCTACAACTGAGACCTTCACACAACCCGAAGAGGTGATAACAACTCGCAAAATCACCAGGAGAAAAATTATCAAGAAGATCATTATAATTGATGGTAAACCTGTTGAAACTGAAGAGGTTGTGGAAGAACCTGAGGAAGTGTCTGGGGATGTGTTTGAGGGAAAACCAGGAGGATCTGTCATCACTGAGACCATCACAGAACCTGATGAAGTAACAACCACAACAGTGCGCAAAATAATAAGGAAGAAAATTATCAAAAAAGTTGTCATCATTGATGGTAAGCCTGTTGAAACAGAAGAAGTTATTGAGGAGCCTGAAGAGGTTGGTGAAGTGGCTGAAGAAAAACCAGGAGAATCAATCATCACTGAGACCATAACAGATCCAGAGGAAGTGACCACCACACAGAGAATTATTCGAAAAAGAATAATCAAGAAAACGATTATCGTTAATGGGAAACCTGTCGAGACTGAAGAGGTTGTAGAAGAACCTGAAGAAGTTACCAAGGAAATGGTACAACCTGCACTTTCAGCTGGCACGGTCTTCACGGATACTAAGGAGGGAACCACCACCCAAAGAAGTATTAGAAGGAAGATCAAGAGAACTATCATGGTTGATGGCAAACCTGTGGAAAGTGAAGAAGTCGTGGAAGAACCTGATGATGGAAATGTCACAGAAGAAATGCGTCCAGATTATTCTGTGAGCACTGAGACCATCACAGAACCTGGAGTAACCACCACGCATAGAGTCATCAGAAAACGAATTATCAAGAAAATTATCATGGTTGATGGAAAGCCTGTGGAAGAAATTATAGAAGAACCAGAAATTAATGAATCCCCTGAAACTTCTCATCCTGCTGGTACATATGTTTCAGAAACCACAACAGAACCTGAAATAACAACAAGAATTATCAGGAGAATCATTAGGAGGAAAATCATCAAGAAGATTATCATAATTGATGGCAAACCAGTTGAAACTGAAGAAGTTGTTGAGGAACCTGAAGATATTGTAGAAGAATGCTCAGGCACAGATGTTCAACCAGAGTCAATGGTCATCGAAGAAATCGCTGGCCCTGACACCACAACTTCAACTTCAAAGATTATTCACAAAAGGATTATAAAGAGAATCGTTATGGTGGATGGCAAACCTGTGGAAACTGAGGAAGTTGTTGAAGAGCCAGGTAAGGAGGCAGTACTTGAGAGATCACCAGGAGTACTAGTCACCACTGAGACCACCGCAGAACCTGAGCAAATCACAACTACTAGTAGAATCATTAAGAGGAGAATCATCAAGAAGATCGTCATGATTGATGGGAAACCTGTTGAAACTGAGGAAGTTGTAGAAGACCCAGTGGATGAGATTGAGAAGATGGCTGAAGAAAAACATCCAGGTGATTCTGTCATCACAGAAACCATTACAGAACCAGGTACATCAATTACTCATAGCAAAATCAGAAGGATAATCAAGAAAATAATTATGGTAGATGGTAAACCAACTGAGACTGAAGAAGTTGTAGAAGAACCTGAGGAAGTGACAACAATTGTTGGTCAAGAAGTGTCCCCTGAGCAAATGACCCAGTCAGAATCCCACATGACAGCCACGACCGTCAGGAGAGTCATTCGTAGAAGGATTATAAAGAAGATTGTCATCGTCGACGGCAAACCAGTAGAGACAGAAGAGGTCATTGAAGAACCAGAGGATGTCACTGAGGAAATGATGCGAGACTTCCCATCTGACTCTCCCATTACCAAGACGATCACAGATCCTTCAGTGTCGCCATCAACTGTGCGCAGGATTATTAGGAGGAGAGTTATCAAGAAGATAATCATAGTGGATGGTGAGCCTGTAGAAACTGAGGAAGTGGTAGAAGAACCAGATGATGTGGTACTAGTGCATGATGAAGTGGCAAAACGTGATGTGGTGTTGGATGAATCTAAAGGCGAAATATCAGACATTTCAGTGAAGGAAAGTGTTAAACCAGTGTCAAAAAGGATTGTGATGGAAGAGGGCAAATCTCTTGTGTCGGATATGGAGGTGGACGAGCCAGTAATTGTGGTAGAAGGAACCCTTAGGGAAGATACACCAGGAGACCTGACAGTTGAGGTATCTGAGGAAAAGAAAATATTTGCTCTTCCTGTCCCTGATCATGCTAATGACTGGATGGAACTTATTGAGGGAGGAGGATTTTCTCTTGAGGATGAGGATGAGGAACCAGCAGTTGATCAAGCCTCTCTGGATGCTAAGACTGTTAAGAATGTCGTGCAAGACAAGAAGGAAATTGAGGAGAGGAAAGTTGAAATTAAGAGTAGTGAAAATGTGGAAACAGAAGTTGTCAACACTTCCATGGAACAGCCAAAAGAAAAAGAGGTAGATTCTAAGCCTGCCTTTGGCCTTGTGTTGCCAGAGCATGCTAATGACTGGTTAGAAATCCTTGAAGATGGAGGATTCACTCTTGAAGATGAGGATGAAGAAACACCCAAGGAGCCCAAGGAGAAGGAAGTCAAGGATGCCACTCCTTCCTTACCAGTCCCAGCAACTGCAGTTCCCGCAACTGAAGAAATAACGACTAAGACTAAAGCTGAAGATGTCAAACCATTTGCCCTGCCCATACCAGATCATGCAAATGACTGGATGGACATGATTCAAGGTGGAGGTTTTACACTTGAGGATGAAGAGGAAGAAAAGAAACCAGAACAGGAGAGTGTTCCTCCTCAAATCCCTGAGGAAAAGTCCACAAAGAAGAAAGAGAACCTGAAACCTGAGGTTAACAAACCATTTGGTCTTCCACTGCCAGACCATGCCAATGACTGGATGGAAATAATCCAGGATGGTGGATTCAGCTTACAAGATGAGGACGAAGAACCATCAGTTTCAGAGGGTACTGAAACAGCTACCAAAAGCCAGCCAGAGATTCCCAAAGATCTTGTTGTGAAGGAAGAAGAGAGCAAACCCAAGTATGCGCTCCCAATCCCAGATCATGCCAACGATTTCATGGAGATCATTGAGGGAGGAGGCTTCTCTCTCGATGATGAAGAAACAGAAGAAACTATGGCACAGGAGAAACTGAAGACAGAAGAGGAGGTGGAGACAGAAGCCACGACAACTTACACAACTCTCATTAAATCAAAACATCTTGTCCATGCAACGTATGTCATGCAAGAAAACACGGATGACCAGGAGGTTCACAGTCACAACCCAGGTCCTGAGAAGGAAGGAAATCCTGGACATGGAAAGAAAGGACAAAAATCTTCAAAGAAATCACAGGAAACATCTTCATATGCCCTTGCCCTTGCCACTGGAAAGGCCCTCCCTAAAGAAGAACCTAAGGAGGAACCCAAGAAACCTTACCGCTACCGCAACCCATCTACAAGTGAAGACCAACCTCCTGAAGACAATCCTCATCCAGCAGCAAAGAAAGACCCTGAAGGATTCGAAGAATTCGTGTCCAAGAAAGAAAAACGTCGAAGAAAGATGCATAGTGACACAGAAAAGCCAGTGTCAGAAGAACAAGCACAAGGCCAGTCAACAGAGGTCAAGGGTAATCCTGGCAATCCAGGTGAAGGAACTGAAAAAGAGAAGAAAACTGAGGTCCAGCCCACAACATCTTCACAGCCAGAGAAAGAGGTGGGATCAAGGAAGACCAAGGAAAAATCTCCCAAAGAAGGCAAGAATCCTAAAGATTCTAACCCAGGCGACAAGAAAAAGAAAAGAAAGAAGGGTAAGGCTAAAGAGGAGGATGGAGAAGACAGTTCCAAGACAGAAAAAGAGAAACAGTCCAGGCGAAAAGATAAGAAGGAAAAGGTGGAAGTAACAAGTGTACAGACTGATGTTGCTAATGTTGTCATGGAAACTTCTGTTTCTGAAGACCCAACCACACCACTAAAGGAGGAGGGTGATTTGGTAATTCCTGAACTCAAGACTGAAACTGTAGCTGAATCAGATGTGGCTGTTGTCCAACTGAAAGTTCAGGCAGACAGTAAACCAGGTGTTGAAACAAAGGGAACAGTTCCGGTGGTGTCAGACTCAGAGGGTTCTATGGCATCATCTATGCTCTCAGTTGCATCTGTGAGCCCTCGCCCAACCAGTCCACACCTTATCATTGACGACCTGAGTGACATTGTTCTGACTCCTCAGTGGATGCGTCAGAGGCCGATTGTTCGCACCTCAAGCACTGAGGAAAAGATCAAAATTCCGCTAGAGGAACGCAAAAAACTCTTCAAAACAAGAAGTGCTCCACTAGAAAGTACTTCTCTCTCCTTCGAAACAATCGGCATAGATATATCTGATGCTGCTTTTGGCTCAGTGCAGGAAAGAAAGACACTTTCAGCTAACATAGAAAGTACAGGTACCTCTGACAGTGACATCTCGGCCTTGGTTCCTGGAGATGAATACTATAAAAACAAAAAGAAAAGGCCCAAGAAGTCAAGGAGCAGGAGAGGTGAACATGACGATGGCCATGATGATGATCTTGATCAAGATAAACCATCTGAAGGTTTACAACTGCAAACAGACATGGACACTGTGGAAGCTCTTAAGGAAGCAGCTGCACCAAGTAAACCTACAGACCAAGATGAAGATGATGTGAAGAAAGACGAAGACAAATTCTCATCCCAAGAAAAGCATAAATCTGAACTTCAGAAGGAAGTCAAAAAATCTGTGGCTGAAAAAGAGTCTGTGGTAGAAAAAGAAGAGTCTGTGGTAGAAAAGGAAGAGTCTGCAGTAGAAAAAGAAGAGTCTGTGGTTGAAAGTGTTACTGAACAAACTTCATCTCAGGAAAAACTTGAACCAGAGCCACAAGCCAAGGGCGAGGAACTTGTGAAGTTGGAAAATGTCAAACAAATGCCACCTCAAGAAAAGCTTGAGATCTGGGAAGAAGCAGGTATTGAAGTCATCACTGCAGGTGATTTAGTAATGCACCACGAGCAGCTCGTTTTGCCTGGCATGATTCCTCTGTCACAACAACAGGAAAGGCAAGGGCCAATTGAATCTAAACACCCATGGACATTTTCTAAGAAAGATGAAAGTGTAGGTCTTCAAAAGGTTGTTCCAAATATCGAGGAGGCTCTTCAGGAGGCGATGACATCAGAACTCGATATTCCGGAAGAACGTGGGCAGGAACAGCCAAAGGAGGAGCCGAAGCCAGAACCAGAACAGCCACTAGCCAAACCTGTGGATGGCTGGATGCATGTGACTGATGTTGACAACTTCACCAAGGAAGTCGAAAGTGAAGAAAAGGCCCGGGAACAGCTTGTCATGAAGGAGGAAATTAGTTCCCATGATCAAGAAACTATCATGACTGAAGAAGGTGACAGTGTTTTAATAACAACTTCGGAAGGGAAATCTTTGACTTCTCTCGAAACAATGACTGAGGAAAGTCAATTCAGCAGCATATCAGCTGATACAGAGATGGTAGAGGAAAGCTGGAGTGAACATAAATCAATAGATTCTGGAGTGAGCATTGCCACTGCTTCAGTTGAACAAGAGTCTAACCAGCATCCCCAGTCATATGCCAACATCCTCATTACAGCTCCAGCTGTGATTGTTGAAGAACCACCTGAAGAACCGAAGAAACCATATGTCTATCGAACACCAGCTGTGGTTGAAAAGATTAGTGTTGAAACTGAAGTTCCTGCCATGCCTGCGGTAGATGAGGAAGGATTTGTAGAATTTGTTTCTAAACGTGAAAGACATCGTAGAAAGACACAGAGCACCTCTGGTATCACCGATGACATCAAGGAGGAAGTGGACTCTGCTATGGCGGAGGAACTCGGAAAGGAGGAAAGCATACAGAAAAGCAAGGATGAACAATTAGAAGCTGATCATGAAGAAGAAATTAGTTTAACAGAAAGTGATGATGATAATAGTTTGTTTAAAGCCCTGAAACCGATGAAACCTAAGAAATCAAAAGACAAAAAGGACAAGACTAAGAGGGTATCGAAAATGTCAGAGTCTGAAATAGAGATATGTAACATTGCGGCCGCCATTGAAAGAGGAGAAACGCCTCCTAAACCAAAGGATGTGGTTGAATACGAGCACAGACTCTTTGCAGCATTTTACTTGGGTTCTGAGTTGTGGTATGATGTCTTTGGCATCCGTGATGCTGAGAGCAATTATCACATGTACCTGGCAACTACATCACAAGAGGTTGTCCCTGAAGATGAACCAATCCAGCCTGACCTTATTTCTGAGGTTGAGGATCAAGCAAGACTTCAACCTGATAATCAAGTTTCAGCAGAGACTGAGCCTGACCAGTATTTGATGGTGTTTGAGCAGGAGTCTCCCAAGTATGATATGAGTGCCATCTTGGAGTATGAGACGAGATACTATGAGTATCTTACAAGAGAGCAGCAGCTTTTGGATGAACCAATAGAAGAAGAAGAGATATTGACCCCCGCACAGGACACACCTGAAGAGAAGATACTAGTAGTTCAGGAGGAAATAAGTAAGACAGAGACAGTGTCAGACCAAAATGACACATTAGAAATCAGTCAGACTGAAATCAAGAAGCATGATTATGTAACAGATCCAGAAAAGATGCTAGCAAATGCTGTTGTGCAATTCGAAGATCAAGTGTCAGAAACAGTTAAAGATATTGTAAGTGAAAGTGAGGAACTCGAAATACCGAAGACTGATGTTGAAGTGAAAACAGATATTGACATTATTCACATGACATCTGAAGTGACTTCTACAACAGTTGATGTTAAATCACAGGTTACCACAGACATCGTGGCAAGTAAAGATGAAGATATACCACTACTGACAGAAGTTGTACCAACTGAATTTGTACAAGAAACGGAAACTGTATTGCCACAGCCAGTTGAAAATATTGCAGGTGACCAGGCAGGTGATACTATCTCTATACAAGATACCGAAAAGGAGTATCAGGCATACTTAGCAGACTCAAGTGAACTTGAACCTCAACATGAAGTTGAAGAGCAAGAATTGGATTCTGCTACTAGTGGTGTTCCCACAATATCTACTCTGAATTACGACATGTCAGCCATCCACCAAGCTGAAACCAAGTACCACGAATATCTTGCCCAGACAGATGAAGCAAGCACCTCATGGGCTCGGGTTGTGGCTCAGGGAAAACCCGTAGATGTAGAGGATGTGGAGGAGGAGCCAAAGGATGACAAATCCTTTATCATGTACCAGACCAAGACAGTGAAGGTTGTGGTGACTGATGAAGAGCCTCCTAAACCACAGGTGCCTGTATCAGTTGACGAAGAAGGATTCAAGGAGTTTGTCTCCAAGCAAGAGCGCCGTCGCAGACTGAGGTCATCATGCTCAGAGGAACCAGAAGATGTGAAAGACATTGTGCCTTATGTACCACGAATAGAGTTACCAGAAGTAGAAGTTGTGGAAGAGAAGGAAGAGGTTGAAACCAAAGAACCTGAACCTGTGAAAGTCAAACCTGAAGTACAAATTGCGGATGAAAGTGTAATTGAAACATTCGAAGCCGCACTTCAGCGTGTCAGGAAACACAAAGAAAGTCACAGAAGGAGCCGCACATACACTGCTGAAGCTGAGAAGGAAGTTGATGACATTATCCGTTTCATGAACCGTGATGAAGTCTTGCAGCAGTATCTTGCCCTGGACTCCTTTGTGATGGACATGTGGCAGGCTATTGACTGTGAGAGAAAATACCAGGAAATGGTAGCTTGGTCAACTGAGGATGATCTTGAAGCTGAGACTTTAGGCCTAATGGAGGAATCTAGTCAGACACAAGAAGAGTGCATTGCCCCCAGCCCTTCACCAGTAATTTCCCTAGGTGCCTTGTCTGAACCCCCTCTTAATTATCCTGTTCCAGCCACTTATATTGTCAATCCTGAGCTAACTTCATCTTTTTCATATGACATAACCGCAATCAATGAGGCTGAGTGTAGGTATTACGAATACTTAGCGCAGCGTGAACTGGATGTGAAGAGTGAGGAGCTTATTGATGTGACTGAAGAACCTTTACTGCCAACTGAAGGTAAGGTCCAGTTGCCAGAATTGGTGAATGAAACAGAGGTTGTCCAGATTCCTGTAGTTACTGACGGAATAGATGGGGTTGTACAGATGCCAGCAGCAACTGAGAAGAAGGAAGAATTTATTCAGGAAGCTATCATCAGTGATAGAAAAGAGGAAGTGATCCAAGAACCAATGGTGGTTGACAGGAAGGAAAGGGTGGTCGAAGAACCTGCTGCTGTAGAGCAAAGGGTAAAGGTTCATGAACCTGTGGTGGTCGAGAAGAAGAAAGAAGTTATCCAAGAGTATACACAGGTTGATAGAATCGAAGAGGTTGTCCAAACTCCGGTAGTTGTTGATAAACAGGAGGAGACTATCCTGAAGACTGTAGCAGATGAGAACAAAGAAGTAATTGTTCAAAAATCAATGGTTGTTGATGAAAATAGAGAGGTTGTACAGAAGCCCTTAGTAGTAGAAAAGGAAGAGGTTGTCCAAACACCTGTAGTGATGGAAGACTTGAGAACTGTTACAGAGCAAGTACAAATCCCACAGGTGTCAACAGATATGGTGGTTGGTGAAATGCTCGAATATAACGTTACAGCCATTCAAGAAGCTGAGAGGGATTACCAGTTATACATGGCTGATACACATGTTCAGCCACAAGAAGCTGCAGATGAACAAGAGGAGGATGACTCCTTGTCTAGTGCAGCTGTTGACTCAATGTCCACTCTGAATTACGACATATCAGCCATCCACCAAGCTGAAACCAAGTACCACGAATATCTTGCCCAGACAGATGAAGCAAGCACCTCATGGGCTCGGGTTGTGGCTCAGGGAAAACCCGTAGATGTAGAGGATGTGGAGGAGGAGCCAAAGGATGACAAATCCTTTATCATGTACCAGACCAAGACAGTGAAGGTTGTGGTGACTGATGAAGAGCCTCCTAAACCACAGGTGCCTGTATCAGTTGACGAAGAAGGATTCAAGGAGTTTGTCTCCAAGCAAGAGCGCCGTCGCAGACTGAGGTCATCATGCTCAGAGGAACCAGAAGATGTGAAAGACATTGTGCCTTATGTACCACGAATAGAGTTACCAGAAGTAGAAGTTGTGGAAGAGAAGGAAGAGGTTGAAACCAAAGAACCTGAACCTGTGAAAGTCAAACCTGAAGTACAAATAGCGGATGACAGTGTCATTGAAGCATTCGAAATAGCACTTCAGAAGCAGAAAGCAATTCCAAGAAGAAGCCGTCGATCTCGCTTGTCAGAAGCAGAAGAGAAAGAAGTACAAGAAATACTGCGGTATGCGGATCGCGAGGAAGTCCTGCAGAAGAACGCTACTAATGACTCTTTCCTATGCAATCAGTGGACATACATCGATGCTGAGAAGAACTACTATGAATTGCTAGCCAGGCTCAAGAAGTCGAATTTAGATCTGGTGAGTGATCAGGTGGATGATAATGGAGAGGATGGTGATGATGGTAGTGATAATGGTGGTCCATCGAGTGGCCATCAGCCGCCTTCTCATGGTGATGGGGATGGTGGCAGTTCTCCAAGAACATATCAGACAGAACTCATGAAAGCAGACCTCCCGCAGGGATTGGCAAATTGGACAGATGAGAGTACATATCTTCCTTTAACACCTAACCTCCCACATCATATAACAGTCAGCCATTCCCTAGATACTAACACCATCACCACGACAACCAAACTGACTGATGACACACGACTAACACAAGCGACTCAGGACACACTGACAGATCATCTCACACCCATTAGCGAGACAGTAGAGACAGTGTTCAGCGAGAAGTCAGCCCCCTCGCAGGCTCCTTGTCAACCAAGTGCAGGACCCAGCCGGCACAGACAACTTCAGGTGTGAGGCCTTCGAGCACTGCACGCGCGTGATGTGTTTTCTGTGCCAGTTTGCCCTGCCCTCGTTATTAGAGAGTTTTTATTTGTGTTTTGTTTGATACCCCTTTCCCATCCCCGTAAAAACTTTTTGTTCTGAAGAAAATTAGTTTCTCCATCCATGATACCCTTCCCCTCCCCTCCTTTTTTATCTGACCTTTTTTTTAAGCCTAATGATTCTATGAAAAATAATTATAGCCTGTTATACTCTCTAGAACTGTACTAATTCCTGACAAGAAACCCCTGGTTGATAGCTTTATCTGACTTGTTAGTAGAGAAACAGAATGTAGTTTCCTCCCCTTTCGTGTGTAGTGAGTCTTAGTTTGCATAGGTTAGAAGACCAAATCCCTGCTACACTTAGAGATATCCTGAAAACCCTGTGGTAAATCAGCATTTTCTTTTTTTATTATTTTATTTTGATTAGGATTGACTGTATATATGTATTTAGTTAACTGATTCTCGTCAAATGATGAAAAGAGCTGGAAAATTTTCATCCACTCTGCCAGAGAAGGGGGTTTCAGGATGCCTGGGATTATTATTATTCCTTCATTATATTTATACATAAAGAGCAGCACGGTATGTAAACTACGGGAGTACCTTGTAGCTTGCGTGGAAGTAGGTATTGCTGGGCAGGTCGTGCGGTTTGATGCATGGTGTATCTCATAATTTGGATTTAAATTTGTTCCTTGAGTGGTCTTTATTTGATTATTTAGCTGGTATTTCCAGATCTGACATTCTGGCTGGCAGGATTATTCTTACGAGGGATGACACCTTATTAAAACTCTCATTCATATAATTCACAAAAGAAAAATATAATTAAGCACCTTATTTAGAACTGCAGTCTTCTCATTGTTGGGGAAAAAAAGGATTTCACAGAAATCATTGTGCAAAGTCTTCATCAAAGTGTCTCCGTAAAAATGATCCTGTCAGTCACAGGGAAAAAATTGTAAAAGAAATCATCCAATAATTTGAATTACAATTTGCAGACTTTAACCTGGTGAGACATCAATTGACTGCTGAAATTCCCTTGATATCTTTTTTGTCTTATTGTTTTTGAGTTAAGCAAAACCTTTCATATTTCATTATTATTTCAATTTATGCCATATATGTATATATGATGTACATATACTTTCCTTGGCCACATTTATTTTAATAATTCATAACAACAAATTCTCCAAAATCAGTACAGACTGTCATTGTAAAGGTTTATATATTTTTGTCTGTTGTATTTAAAATCAAAAGAGTTATCTTGTATTTTCCCTATAACTAACCCATAATTGAAGCATGAGTTTTTTTCCAAAGTACTTATTGTTGTTTTCTTAATTTCATTTTTGTATTATTTGGATGTTGGAATGTTGAATTCATTAATGTTACAGATTTTGGAGTATGTAAAATAACCGTTCACTTCTTTGAGAATGCTAGAAGAGGGAGAAGGAGAAAGAAAAGGATGACGAAGAGGAGGAGGAGGAGGAGGTGGAGGATAGCTAATCACTCAACCTCTATGCTTGTACTAATCTAATTTTTCCTCCCCCTGTTCCCCTCACATGAGCAGGAAGAAGCAAGGAAGACTATTGCTTCAGCTGAGAAATCACTGGACAACTTCCAGGAAAGAATTAGGGCTCTTGTGGACTATACTATCGTTGAGCAAATAACAACTATCCAGGTATGTTGCTGAAAAAGTATTCTGGGGTTTCTTTTTTTAGGGGGGTAGGGGAAGTGTATGTGCCTGTGGTTGGGGATATAGGTGTGGATATATGAGCATCTGCAGTTGTGTGTGTTGATTTTAGTATATGTATGTATGTTTGTAGGGTTTATATAAGTCAGTTGATTAGATTCTTTTGGTAATTGTTTAAATCTTTTTTTCTTTATTATTATTATTATTTTTTTTTTTTTTTTTTTTTTTTTTTAGATTTTAATAAAAACAATGTTTTGCTTTTTTTCATCTCAGAAGAGGTCAGTTTGATAATGGTATTGGGTTACAGATAAGTGTGATTACCATTTTTGAGAAGGAATTCTTTAAGATAACCCTACTTATGATACAAATGTTATAACAGAATGAGTGCAGTTTATATCAAAAGCTAGATTTATGAACAATAACTACATAAAAATGTCCATAGATTTAGGAACTCATTAGCTTTCACATTATTTATATACAGAGAACATGTTAATTCTGAAGATATTAAGATTTTTATCATAAAACCAATATTTGAAATCAAACATCTGCAAATAATTAATTCCCTATAGCAACTCTTCTTCCACCCACCCTTACACATGTAATGAATGATTTATTATTTTTATTTTCATTTTGAAGAATTTGTGTCTTACAACATTGGATTTTTGGTCATTATTATTTTATTTTTTCTTAGCTGTTAGGAAGAATTATGGATTTCTGGAAAAAATATACAGTAATGACAGCTAAATTAGTATGAATTACATAAAATTATTATAAAAGGGAATAAATTTTTTCTATTGTCTCTAAAATACACTCCATTGTTGAACCTCCTTTTCTAAGCTGTGTGACTCGGTATAACCATGAGGGAAACGTTTAATAAACTGGAATTCAAAGTCATACATATTACCCATTTAGAAAGATATGAAGACTACTGTACTGAGCATTAATAGAATAAATAAAATAAAACATTGCAACCTCTTCCTCAACCATAGACTCTTCTCATCGAGATGCGGAAGATGGAAGAAGACCTCAGCAACCTGCACGAGAAGGGCCGCACAATGGAGCAGGACTCAGAGATGCTCAACATGCTTGCCACCGTCTCAGGGCTCAAGACCCGCTTGAAGACTCTGCGCTCGGAGGCTGAAGGAAAGAAGAATGATATTGAAGTAAGATCATTATTATTATTATCTATCTATCTATCTATCCATCTATCTATACTTTTATATATACATATGTGTGTGTGTGTGTGTGTGTGTGTGTGTGTGTGTGTGTGTGTGTGTGTGTGTGTGTGTGTGTGTGTGTGTGTGTGTGTGTGTGTGTGTGAATATATGTACTTGTATATATATATATATATATATATATATATATATATATATATATATATATATATATATATATATATATATATATATATATGTATGTATGTATGTATGTATGTATGTATGTATGTATCTATGTATCTATGTATGTGTATGTGTATGTATATGTATATGTATATGTATATGTATATGTGTATATATATATATATATATATATATATATATATATATATATATATATATATATATAATATATATATATATAATGTGTGTGTGTGTGTGTGTGTGTGTGTGTGTGTGTGTGTGTGTGTGTGTGTGTGTGTGTGTGTGTGTGTGTGTGTGTGTGTGTGTGTGTGTGTGTGTGTGTGTGTGTGTGTGTGTGTGTGTGTGTGTGATATATATATATATATATATATATATATATATATATATATATATATATATATATATATATATATATATAAATATAAATGATATATGTAAAAAAATATATATATATATTTATATTTATATTTATATATATATTTGTATATAATAATATATATATATATATATATATATATATATATATATATATATATATATATATATATATATGTATGTATGTATGTATGCATGTGTGTGTGTGTTTAATGATTTAATCTTCAAACTTGTAATGAGATAATGGAAATTGGATTAGATTTGGCTCAGTTTGATTGGGAAAAAAAATACCTAATAAGATTTTGTATCATACTTATACTTTAATGTAGCATTATATATTCCACTCTAAAACTATCCAGCCACTATAAGCATAAAAAGAAATCTTCGGAGAGCTGAGTTTCCTCTTGCTTCACAGACAAAGCAGAGTGAATCTGAACAGCAGAAGTTCCACCTAATCGAGTACCAGCAACTCCTCCAAGACCTCGAATGTTGGGTCACTGAAACCTACTCGCAGATCACGGCTGACGTCTGCCTTGGTTCCGTGACTGCCATCCGTGAGCAAATAACTCTCAATCAGGTACGAAGAGGGAAAAGATGCATTATCATAGTTATGTGAAACCAGAGCAAAAAAGATGGAGTCTGACAATGTATTTTTTTATTATTATGCAGATTCTTTTTTTTTTCTTCTTCTTTTTTATTTACTGCTAGAACTGATTAAAAGTTTCATTCATATTAATATTTTGGTCATATTTTTAGACAAGAGCTTTGTAAACGTATATCAAAGATAGTTTTTATATAATGTCAGACTCCATTTCCCCTTTATTTGGGTGCGTCTGTTCTTTACCCCATCAAGACACCATGCATGCACACTCACCATTGTTCTTTCTACTGGTAATGCACAAGAAAACCAGCAGGGCCACCGAGGCTGATCACCCCTTCCCTAGGACTGTGCATGGTAACAGATATCCATACCAACCACTTCTAAAATTTGTGTTCTTTATTTTTTCTCATTTATTAATTTTCCCTGACCCCTTTTTAAGATATTATTATCTTCATGTTATCTTAACAAGATCATTTACTTTTCCCTTTTACTTATTATTTAAATGTGAGTTTATTGTCAGTATTTGACTTTGAAGTCAAGAGTTAACATGATATCCAATATTAGCTATACATTAATAATATTGATAATGATTATGAGATATGTAAATAATGTACAACTCAGTTTAAACATTTGCTATTTTTGTTTCAAACATTTAGAAACCCGTTCTCTTGTTATAAGAAAATTCTCCCTGGCTTTTTTAGACAAAGTAAATTAAACATTTTTAAGTGAAGTGTTATAGGTCAGTATGATGAGTTGGATACATTTTCTTTTCTTAAGTAGAATTTAATAACTCTGATAACATGTAGGCATTGTGTGGATTTACTTGTATTGATACTAAGAATTCCATTTACGAATAAGAAATTATATTTAATGGTCTGTTTATGAATAAGATATTATATTTACTATTAGTTGTTTTCAGTGTATCTGAAGTACACTTACCCATTGAGTTATTAATGTTGCTATATCTACTCCTAGATTTGCTATCTTTGTTAACTCATATCAGCATCTCTATTGATTTATGATTATATTGCTTCTTTATTATTATTTTCTTATCATACAATTACTTTGACTATTCTTCTTTATATCAAGATTTTTTTTTTTATTATTGAAGTCAGATTATGCACAATACGTAAAAAAAATTATGTATCTCTTATCTGATTATGAAATAAATTTAATTTGAGAAGTGGTTGGTAGGTCTGAGTGTTGAAGAGAGAAGTCACTCCAGGGCTTAAATACAGCTTAAGTGTTTATGTGTTTGTCACATTGTTTTCAAAGAGCTTATATTTGTTTATAGAATCTTCAGCGAGACTTGGTTCGCCGTGAAAGTCAACTCAGTGAACTACGCAGCAAATGTGAGCGTGTGCAAGGTGATTCACACATCCAGTCACTGGCTCAAGAGATGACTGACCACCTTGTCTTCCTAAGTCAGACCATCTGTGACACACGCCTTGTGCTTCAGAACCGTCTGCACCAGCTGAAGGTACGCATCTGCCAGCATCGTCCTTCCTGTCCCTATGTATCCTAAATCTGCCTTCTTGACCATCCTTCTTTATTCTTCCAACTATCCTTACTTCCTTTTCCTGTTCCTCTTCCTGACTTCCTGCATAGATTTTATGATTCACACATTATGGTTGTCCTTATCCCCAGTTCATATCCCTTTGTGATCCCCTTTCTCTTCAGCTAAAAGTGCATCAAGAAGCATTGATTAAAAATCATCTAAGTACATTTGCAACAGCAGGTGTGCATCAGTTAACATGTGCCGAAATCTATTATAGGAGATCCTGGAGAATGAAAGGAAGCGGTTACCTTCTGATAGCCAGGACTCAGAGAAAGAGAGTGAGAGTACAATTGCTTTAAAACAAGAGGACCAGCCCATCAGTTTAGCAAAGGAACAAGTGCAGCAAGAAGCTGATGTGACCACGGAACCTGAAACAACTGAAACAACTGTTTACAAAGTGATGAGAAGGAGAAGTATTAAGAATGTTGTCATGATCGGTGGTATGCCGGTTGAGACTGAAGAAGTTGTTGAAGAACCCACTGATCAGGCCACTGATGTGGAACCTGAGGGAACTACCACTGTTGTCAGAGCTGTTCGTAGAAGGAGCATAAAGTCCATTGTCATGGTAGATGGTAAACCAGTAGAGACTGAAGAGGTTGTGGAGGATCCTATCTCTGTGTCAGAGGAGTTAGTTGAAAAGGACAATGTGCTCCTGGAATCTGTTTATGAGCCTGATGTGTCTACCACCACAAGAGAATTTGTGCCAAAGAGAATGCAGACCCTCAAGGATGAAAGAGAGTTCCTGGATTCTGCTGAAGAAGTTCAGGAACCAGCAGTGGCATCTACCATAACTACCCATCAAGTCATAAGGAGAATTGTAAAGAAGATTGTCATGATTGATGGAAAACCAGTTGAGATTGAGGAATTAGAAGATCCTCAAGACATATCAGATGAACTGATGCAGGGTAATCTTCCAGTAGATTCAGTCATCACTCGAACAACAAGTGAGCCTGACTTGACAACCACCACTGTCAGAACAGTTGTGCGTCGCAGAATAAAGAAGATTGTCATGGTAGATGGTCAGCCAGTTGAAACTGAGGAATTCATTGAAGAACCTGTGGACACCACAGTTGAGAATCTTGAGGATTATGCTAAGCAGTCAGTAATACCTGAATCATCTTCAGAATCTGAGACATTTACAACAATCAGAAAAATAATAAAGAAGAGAATAATCAAGAAAATTGTTATGATAGATGGTAAACCAGTAGAGACTGAGGAAGTTGTAGAAGAACCAGATGATGTGACAGAAGAGATTGTTCAAGCTCTTCCATCTGACTCAATTAGTGGTACCATCACACAGCCTGAAGAGGAAACTACTACAACTGTTCGGAGAGTCATCAGAAAGCGTGTCATTAAGAGAATTGTTATTATTGATGGTAAACCGGTTGAAACAGAAGAGATTGTAGAGGAACCTGAAGATGTAACACAAGAATGTATTGTTCCTTCTGACTCAGTTATCACAAAAGAAATTACAGAACCAGAGACCATTACTACTGTTCGTAGAGTCATACGAAGAAGAATCATTAAAAAGATCATTATGGTTGATGGTAAACCTGTAGAAACTGAGGAAATTGTAGAAGAACCTGAGGATGTGACTGAGGAAATGACACAAGGAATCTGCCCAACAGATAGTTCTGTTGTTACAGAAGAAATTGTAGAACCGGAAACTATAACCACTGTTCGTAGAATTATACGAAGGAAAATCATTAAAAAGATCATTATGGTAGATGGTAAACCAGTAGAGACAGAGGAGATTGTTGAGGAGCCTGAGGAAATTACAGAGGAGATTGGTGAGGGAACACCAAGAGAAGCAATTAGCACTGAGCTTATCACTGAGCCTGATGAACTAACAACCACAACTGTGCATAGAATCATCAGGAGGAGAGTCATCAAAAAGATTGTGATGATTGATGGTAAACCTGTTGAAACTGAGGAAGTAGTAGAGGAACCAGAAGAGGTCAGTGAGGAGATGCTCCAAACCTTACCTAAAGACTCTGTCACAATGGAGACCATCACAGAACCTGAAGAGGTGACCACAACTCATAGAATCATCAGGAGAAGAATCATCAAGAAGATCATTATGGTCGATGGTAAACCTGTTGAGACAGAAGAAGTCGTGGAAGAGCCTGAGGAAGTAATTGGGGAAATGGTTGAGGCAACTCCAGGAGATTCAGTCATCACTGAGACCATCACAGAACCTGATGAAGTAAGTACAACAACTGTGCATAGAATCATCAGGAGGAGAATCATAAAGAAGATCATTATGGTTGATGGTAAACCAGTAGAGACTGAAGAAGTTGTGGAGGAACCTGAGGAAGTCACTGAAGAGGAGCTACAAGCCTTACCTAAAGACTTGTTAGCCACTAGGACTATCACAGAACCTGAAGAGGTAACCACAACTCACAGAATCATCAGGAGAAGAATCATCAAGAAGATCATTATGGTTGATGGTAAACCTGTCGAGACAGAAGAGGTCGTGGAAGAGCCTGAGGAAGTAACTGGGGAAATGGTTGAGACAAGTCCAGGAGACTCGGTTGTCACAGAGACTATCACAGAACCTGATGAAGTAACCACAACAACTGTACATAGAATCATCAGGAGGAGAGTCATCAAGAAGATTGTGATGATTGATGGTAAACCTGTTGAAACTGAGGAAGTTGTGGAAGAGCCAGAAGAAGTTAGCGAAGAGGAGCTACAAGCCTTACCGAAAGACTCTGTAATCACTGAGACCATTACAGAGCCCGAGGAAGTCACAACTGTACGTAGAGTTATCAGAAAGAGGATTATCAAAAAGATAGTTATGATTGATGGCAAACCTGTTGAGACAGAGGAGGTCGTGGAAGAACCTGAAGACATCAGTGAAGAAACAGTTAAGAAGATCATTATGGTCGATGGTAAACCTGTTGAGACAGAAGAGGTTGTGGAAGAACCAGATGTCAGGGACATGATTCAGAGCACAAAACCAACTGATACTGTCATTACTGAAGAAGTTACAGAACCAACAGTTTCCAGAGTCATTCGTAAAAGAATTATCAAGAAAACCATTGCGGTTGATGGCAAACCAGTAGAAACAGAAGAAGTCATAGAAGAGCCTGTGGAGGTCACTGGAGAAATGGTTGAAAGAACACCAGTAGATTCAAGCATCATTGAGACCATCACAGAACCTGATGAAGTAAGTACCACAACTGTGCGTAGAATCATTAGGAGGAGAATTATCAAAAAGATTGTGATGATTGATGGAAAACCGGTAGAAACCGAGGAAGTTATTGAGGAGCCTGAGGAAGTTAGTGAAGAGATGGTTCAGGGAATGCCAGGAACCATAGTAGAACCTGAAGAGGTGACCACAACTCATAGAATCATCAGAAGAAGAATCATCAAGAAGATTATTATGGTCGATGGTAAACCAGTTGAGACAGAAGAGGTTGTGGAAGAACCTGAGGAAAGGGAAATGGTCGAGGCAACTCCAGGAGACTCGGTTGTCACTGAGACTATCACAGAACCAGATGAAGTAACCACAACAACTGTGCATAGAATCATCAGGAGGAGAATCATCAAGAAGATTGTGATGATTGATGGTAAACCTGTTGAAACTGAGGAAGTTGTGGAAGAGCCAGAAGAAGTTAGCGAAGAGGAGCTACAAGCCTTACCTAAAGACTCTGTTATCACTAAGACCATCACAGAACCTGAAGAGGTGACCACAACTCACAGAATCATCAGGAGAAGAATCATAAAGAAGATCATTATGGTCGATGGTAAACCTGTTGAGACAGAAGAGGTCGTGGAAGAGCCTGAGGAAGTAACTGGGGAAATGGTCGAGACAATTCCAGGAGACTCAGTCATCACTGAGACCATCACAGAACCTGATGAAGTAACCACAACAACTGTGCATAGAATCATCAGGAGAAGAATCATAAAGAAGATCATTATGGTTGATGGTAAACCAGTAGAGACTGAAGAAGTTGTAGAGGAACCTGAGGAAGTCACTGAAGAGGAGCTACAAGCCTTACCTAAAGACTCAGTAGTCACCAAGACAATCACTGAACCTGAAGAGGTGACTACAACTCACAGAATCATTAGGAGAAGAATCATCAAGAAGATCATTATGGTCGATGGTAAACCTGTCGAGACAGAAGAGGTTGTGGAAGAGCCTGAGGAAGTAACTGGGGAAATGGTCGAGGCAACTCCAGGAGACTCAGTCATCACTGAGACCATCACAGAACCTGATGAAGTAACCACAACTACTGTGCATAGAATCATCAGGAGGAGAGTCATCAAGAAGATTGTGATGATTGATGGTAAACCTGTTGAAACTGAGGAGGTTGTGGAAGAGCCAGAAGAAGTTAGTGCAGAGGAGCTGCAAGCCTTACCTAAAGACTCTGTAATCACTAAGACCATCACAGAACCTGAAGAGGTGACTACAACTCACAGAATCATCAGGAGAAGAATCATCAAGAAGATCATTATGGTTGATGGTAAACCTGTGGAGACTGAGGAAGTAGTAGAAGAACCTGAGGAAAGTACAGATGGAGAAATTGTACCTATAATCTCTGGAGGTACACGTATTGTGAAAAAGAACGTTAAGATCAAACGTGTTGTACATATTGTTGATGGTAAAGAGGTTGTCGAAGAAGAAAGATCTGAGACTCCAGAAGAAGTGCTTGAGTATCCTGCAGGTACAGGCAGTGACCAGCCTTTAACTTTGCCAATTAGTCAGGACATAGAGAGCATACCTTCTGATACTGCCCAGTCCCCTGAGACTCCGGTTCAGCAGGCCAGAGTTATACGTCAATTGAGGATTGTAGATGGTCAACCAGTTGTATCTGAAGAAATCCTGGAAGGAGCTGAAAATATACCAAGTGATGCCAGTGTTTTGGAAACACGAAATATCCAAGTTCATGCTGTCAGACGTAGAATGAAGGTAATTCGTCGTGTACAGATCATTAACGGAGAAAGAGTTGTAACAGAAGAAGTTGTTGAAGAACCAGAGACAGAGTTTGGAATGCCAGAAGATGGATCTGGAGTCACTGTCACAGACATGACTGGAAGTACTCTATTCCCCAAACCTCAGACGGAAACTAATGAAGCCCCGTCTCCTTCCTCTGCAATTCCTCTTCAGTGGAAAGAAGAAACCTATCCTTCAAGCCTTCCCAAGAGTGAACCAGAAGAGAAGATCACAGGAGAGTCTTACAAGATAACTGAGGTTATGCCCAAAGAGCCTCCAACAGAAGAACGCCCTCAGGACCCATTCCCAGCACCTGTGAGCTCTTTCCCCGTCCCAGCTTCAGTCAGTGATGCAAAACCAAAGGACGCAAAGGATACCACTGAGGTCTGGTCTGGAGCTCTTTACACCAAAGCTAGTGTAGAGGATTCCTCAGAAGAGACCATTCCAGACACTGCTGGCCAGGCTCCAGTTCTCCCTGAACAGCCAGCTCATCATGAATCTGAGGAAGATTTAGAACCATATCCTCAGCCTGGTGACAGTCAGGGAGAAGAACCATGGGAGGAAATAGCCCATGATCTCATTGGAGTAACGCGCGAAATCTCCTTGACAACTGATGGTGACTCAAGAGAAGTCAAAGACTCTGAAGACCAAAAGACCAAAGCTTTCCCAAGCCCTGAAGATCTGGCGGTTCGGGCTGAAGATCTGAAGCCTGTTTCTAAAGAAAGAAAATCTAGTGCAGGTGAATCTTTCCCTACGTTTAAAAGAAGAGATAGTGGTGTTGCAGAATTGTGCAAGATATTTGAATCTCCTACAAAGAGCTATGATGCACCCGTCTACCAGAGACCAAAGCCAGTGGTGACAAGAGAGAAAATCCAAGATACTACCAAACCTTTCAAATCTGTGGAAATACCAGCTTGGCCCCCTTGCAAAGAAAAAGATTTATCTGTAAAGCAATTCCCACGACCAGTAGGGGATGTGCCCCTGCCATCATACAAAGATTCTACTGTGCCAAGGGATCCAGTAACAGGTTGCAGAATTTTCCTGGAAGAAAAATATACTCTCATTCCAAGAGATCAACAGATGGAGAAGATCACAGATATGTCATCTGGAGCACCTGCAGCACCTGCTCCTTCCCCAGATTTCCCAGAAAGAAGAGAAGATCTAGAACCATTTGCAAGACCATTTGAGTTTGGTGGAGATTTCCGATTCCCAGAATATGTCAGGCAAAAGTCTGATACTGACAGGGAGCTGCAAACCCCCACTCAACCTCAAGCACCTTCCTGGGAAGAAAGATTATATCAGAAACATATGGATAACCTAACACCTACATCCATACCTCAGACCTCAGAGACAGCACCTGGTTTGCCAGAAAGAGGTATGGCACCACCAGTAGATGTAAAACCACAGTTCCCATCTCCACAAGAGAGTTATCCATATCCAGTTACCTCTGAGGAGATCCAAAGAGTTAGTGACATTAGGTCTCCCCAGTTGTGGGCAACAGGACATTACCAACAGTCTACTCCTGCTGACCAAAGAGAACACATCCCACAAGACGAATCAACTATGTTACCTCCAACATATGCTGAGCTTGCAGCAAAGATCGTGCCAAGCTTCCCAAGCCCAGGAGAAGCACCCGTGAGAGATGGAAAAGAGCCTCCACAGTATACAGAGAGAGAGGAGACAAAGAGAGATGAAGTGTTCCCATTGCCTCTTGTCTCTCAAACTGAGGAAACACTGCGAGATGTGACATCAGTGTCAGTTTGGCCAGAAAAGATTTACAGTAGGGTAGATGTCATTGAAGGAGAGGAGAGACTATCACCTGAAGGTGATACAGAAGCTCCAGCACCTACTCTGCCAGCTAAGAGTCCACAGTATGTCTCAAAAGAAGCAGCATTCCCAGTTCCTATTGGAGAATTCCCGGTGCCATCTCAGAAGAAAGATGAACCGCAGGAAGTAGAAAGACCAAGTGAATTATTCAAAGATGTATTGTACATTCATGAACCACCTGAAGAGGAGCTCAGAATCATCAGTGACGAAGAACATATTGGCAGGGCAGCCCCTAAGTCTCCAGAGTTTAAGGAGGAGCTTGTTACACCAGTAGCTCCATTCCCTGAACCAGGGAAGCCATCAACCGTACCTAAAGATGAGGATAAGTTCCCAACTCCTGTTGTAGGTCTCGTTGATGAGCCTCGAGATGTGACATCAACTCCGAAGTGGACAGAGGAGCAGTATGCTAGGAGTGACGTATCTGTGAAGGATGCTGATATCCCTCAGCATGACACTCCAGCAAAGTTGCCACCAGCACCAGTAAAAGCTCCTCCCTTGTCTAAAGAGGACACACCATTCTCTCGACCAGTAGGCGAATTCCCAGAACCCACAGAGAAGCCTGATGACAGACCAAGTGTACCTGCAAGTCAGATACACATGGAAACTGTCTATGCAAGACCCTCTGATGTAAAAGAAACTAGAAGAATTGAAGAACACAGAGACCTTGAACTTCCTTCTAAAGAAAGCCCCAAGTATGAGGAAGTTGATGTAGCAAAGGAGGCAGAACCATTCCCTGAACCAAAGGTGCTTGTGCCAAAAACTGAGAAGTTAGAGATAGTTGAAGAGCTTTCAAAGCCTCAAGAACTTTCATTCACCCTCCCAGAGTTTAAAGAAACTCCAACCAAGAAGATTATCGAGGCATTCCCAGAACCAGTAACAGTTCAGACACAAGAAACACCACAGGATGTCATTTCAGTGTCACAATGGATGGAAGAACTCTATCCATCCAAAGAAGTTGTGGTACAAGATCGTACATTAGAAGAAGGAGAAAGAAAAGAGGAATTACCTGAAATACCGGTAAGAGCTCCAGAGGACAGACCTGTGATAGCAGATTTCCCTGTTCCAGAAGCAGATTTCCCAGAGCCCCTCAAAGAAGCAGGTGAACCAAAGGAGGGATTGAAAACTCAAGTATTCTCAGAGATTGTTTACAAAAAGCCAGAAGTGACAGAGGATCCCAAAATTGAAATAGAAGAAGACATTTGGGAGGAAGCGGTTTCAGATATTCCTGACTTCGGGGAAGCTGATGATATTAAGGTTCAGGCTCCCTTCCCAGTTCCAGTAGGTGATATCTGCCAAACAGATGAGACCCAAGGAATGGAACCACCTGTATATGAGGACAGTGATGAAGACAAATTTGAAGATTTTCCAGAACCCACAACAAGCATACCTGACGATACTCCTGAAGATGTCTCAACAGTCAGCCCATGGCAGGATGATTTGTATAAAAAGAGTGAGCCAGTGGAGGTAGGTAGGATACCCCAAGTAACAGAAGAAATCCCTGTGCTTCCTCTACCAATGAAGAGACCCGAAGAAAAGACACGGGAAGAAGGTTTCCCAGAACCAGAAGCACAGTATCCTAAACCAGTTGATGGTACCAGTGAGCCCCCAGCTGGCCCAGATGCTGTCAAGGTATTTTCAGAAGTTGTTTACACTGAAGTGGTAAAGACTGAAAAACCAGAAGCAATTGAAGAGCCTGAAGACCTAGAACATCCTACAGTTCAACCACCAGCATATAAGGAAACTGAACCTGTGCCCACTGAACCTTTCCCTACCATTGGTGTTCAGGGACCAGCAATTGAAAGTATTGAAGAAATCATTAGGCCTGAAGAAACTACTACTGGACGTAGAATAGTCCGGAGAGTTATAAAGAAGATCATCATGGTTGATGGTAAACCAGTAGAGACTGAAGAAGTTGTTGAGGAGCCCGAGGAAGTTGAGGGAACGCAGGATGAATCTTTCATTACTGAAACTGTAACTGAGCCAGAAGGGGTTATTACCACACATAGAATTATTAGGAGAAGAATTATCAGGAAGATTATTATGATTGATGGTAAACCAATAGAGACAGAGGAAGTTGTTGAAGAACCTGAGGAGATAAGTGAAGAGATGCTTCAGGGAACACCAGAAGATTCAGTCATCACTGAGACCATCACAGAACCTGATGAAGTAACTACCACAATTGTGCGTAGAATCGTTAGGAAAAGAATTATCAAGAAGATTGTGATGATTGATGGTAAACCTGTTGAGACAGAAGAAGTTATCGAGGAGCCAGAGGAAGTAAGTGAAGAGATGGTTGAGGGAGCTCCAGAAGAATCGGTCATCACTGAGCCTGAGGAGGTGATTACCACTCACAGAATCATCAGGAGAAGAGTCATCAAGAAGATCATTATGGTTGATGGCAAACCTGTGGAAACCGAGGAGGTTGTGGAGGAACCAGAAGAAGTCACTGAAGAGGAGTTGCAAGCCTTACCTAAAGACTCTGTAGTCACTGAGACTATCACAGAACCCGAAGTGACCACAACTCATAGAATCATCAGGAGAAGAATCATCAAGAAGATCATTATGGTCGATGGTAAACCAGTAGAAACTGAGGAGGTTGTGGAGGAACCTGAAGAGGTTAGTGAAGAGATGCTACAGGCTTTGCCTAAAGACTCTGTCACAACTGAGACCATCACAGAACCCGTGCATAGAATCATTAGGAGGAGAGTCATCAAAAAGATTGTGATGATTGATGGGAAACCTGTAGAAACTGAGGAAGTAGTAGAGGAACCAGAAGAGGTCAGTGAGGAGATGCTCCAAACCTTACCTAAAGACTCAGTAGTCACTGAGACCATCACAGAACCTGAAGAGGTGACCACAACTCACAGAATCATCAGGAGAAGAATCATAAAGAAGATCATTATGGTCGATGGTAAACCTGTTGAGACAGAAGAGGTCGTGGAAGAGCCTGAGGAAGTAACTGGGGAAATGGTTGAGACAACTCCAGGAGACTCGGTCATCACTGAGACCATCACAGAACCTGATGAAGTAACCACAACAACTGTGCATAGAATCATCAGGAGGAGAATCATCAAGAAGATTGTGATGATTGATGGTAAACCTGTTGAAACTGAGGAGGTTGTGGAAGAGCCAGAAGAGGTTAGTGAAGAGGAGCTACAAGCTTTACCTAAAGACTCTGTAATCACTAAGACCATCACAGAACCTGAAGAGGTGACTACAACTCACAGAATCATTAGGAGAAGAATCATCAAGAAGATCATTATGGTCGATGGCAAACCTGTTGAGACTGAGGAGGTTGTGGAGGAACCAGAAGAGATCAGTGAAGAAGAACTGCAAGCCTTACCTAAGGACTCTGTGACAACTGAAACCATAACAGAACCTGAAGAAGTAACAACAACTCATAGAATCACCAGGAGAAGAATCATCAAGAAGATCATTATGGTCGATGGTAAACCTGTTGAAACAGAAGAGGTTGTGGAAGAGCCTGAGGAAGTAACTGGGGAAATGGTCGAGGCAACTCCAGGAGATTCAGTCATCACCGAGACCATCACAGAACCTGATGAAGTAACCACAACAACTGTGCATAGAATCATCAGGAGAAGAATCATTAAGAAGATCATCATGGTTGATGGTAAACCGGTAGAAACTGAAGAAGTTGTGGAGGAACCAGAGGAAGTCACTGAAGAGGAACTACAAGCCTTACCTAAAGACTCAGTAGTCACTAAGACTATCACAGAACCCGAAGAGGTAACCACAACTCACAGAATCATCAGGAGAAGAATCATCAAGAAGATCATTATGGTCGATGGTAAACCTGTTGAGACAGAAGAGGTCGTGGAAGAGCCTGAGGAAGTAACTGGGGAAATGGTTGAGACAACTCCAGGAGACTCGGTCATCACTGAGACCATCACAGAACCTGATGAAGTAACCACAACAACTGTACATAGAATCATCAGGAGGAGAATCATCAAGAAGATTGTGATGATTGATGGTAAACCTGTTGAAACTGAGGAAGTTGTGGAAGAGCCAGAAGAAGTTAGCGAAGAGGAGCTACAAGCCTTACCGAAAGACTCTGTAATCACTGAGACCATTACAGAGCCCGAGGAAGTCACAACTGTACGTAGAGTTATCAGAAAGAGGATTATCAAAAAGATAGTTATGATTGATGGCAAACCTGTTGAGACAGAGGAGGTCGTGGAAGAACCTGAAGACATCAGTGAAGAAACAGTTAAAGCCTTACCTGCTGATTCTGTTGTCACTGAGGCTGTTACTGGGCCTGAAGTCACCACAACTCATAGAATTGTCAGAAGAAGAGTCATCAAGAAGATCATTATGATTGATGGCAAACCTGTTGAGACAGAAGAGATTATTGAGGAACCAGAAGATATCAGTGAGATGATTCAGGGAACACTACCAACTAATATTGAAAAAGAATTCCCACTCGCTCAGTCTGCTCCACATGATGCACCAGAAGACTCAGAAGCTCTAGAAGTGTGGGAAGAAAAGTTCTACCCTGCAGAAGATCACCAGCCTCTGAGACCGGAGAGTATCAAAGAGGACAAAGAAGTGGCACCTGCCTTGCCAACATTACCAAAGGAGCCTCCTAAAACATATGAGGGTGCACCAGATTTCCCCAAGCCAGAAGAAAAGTTCACACTTCCCATTGAGACTTATGAAGAACCTGCTGAGTCCCCTGATGTTACCACACACTTTAGTGATGCTGTGTATGAGGTTCCAGCAACACATGATGACAAGCCAGAAATAATCCCAACTGTCGAAGAATCTCCTGTGTTGATGCCTGAAGAAGAAGACTTTGAATTGGAAGAGCCTCCAGCTGGTGTCGCATGGAGAGAGGAGTTAGTCACCACTCGTCAAATATCTTCAGAAGACTCACCTCGAGAGGAAAGCAGACGCCATTCTGAGGGTGATGAAGTTGACTTAGCCACTAGCCTTCCCAAATCAGATTCTCAAGTATCCATTGTCATCACACCTGCTGAAGATCTGTCACCAGAAACATCAACAGCAGATAATGACTATACAGATGCTGGAAGAACAACTTCGTATGATGAGACTAGCTCAGTTGATGAGATGTTCACAGCCGATGATGACGTACTTGCATCATCAGCCACCTCAGATAGAATCACAGATGATGAGTTGTCTGAGGATGCTCCAAGGGAATTAACAGAAGAGTCTGAAGAAGAACTACCAGAGGAGGAAGTACATCCAGAGGAAATTGAGGTAGTTACACCCACAAGGGAGGATACACCTGAAGATGTTGAAGTGGTTTCAGTCACATACGAAGAAGCACCAGAAGATACAGAAGCTAGCAAAATCACTTGGGAAGAGCCTCCAGATGAAATAGAGGTGGTCACACCCACCGAAGAGATCCCAGAAGTAGTGACTCCCACTCAGGAAGAACCCAAGGAAAAGGGTTTGACACCCACACTTGAAGATGAATCTGAATTCTTTGCTTCCACCCAAGAAGAGTTCATAGAGGAAGATCTTAAAGAGGGTGACAGTTTTGTGTCACCTATACATGAAACTGTGTCAGAAGAGAAACCTTCTGAAATCATTTTTGTAGCCCCTGTCAAGGAAAAATCTCCTGAAAAGGTCCAGATGAAGGTTGAAGAACATCCAGATATACATAAAAAGGCTGTACCAGAGGCTGAAGTGATTTCAGTAGCTGATGAAGCTGCCTCTATTCCAGCTGCTTCTGAAACCCCAGAAAAGATACAGGTGACCCAAAAAGAGCCTGAAGAAAGTCAGGCAGGACTTATTTCTGTAATCTCTGCACCTCCAAGGACCCCAGAAAGGATTCAAGTGATGCCTCTCATGCACGAAGCACCTGAAGAACTTCAGGAAGCTGATCTTGCTGAAGAAACCCCAGAAATGATCTCTGTGATCCTAACATCTCCAAGGTCCCCAGAGAAGGTTCAAGTAGTGACTGAAGTGCGAAAAGAGCCTGAGGTAGTCACAGAAAGACCACAAGATGAATCTCCAGAAAAGTATGTTACTGCAGTTGAGGTGCTTGATGAAAAGCAAAAGGAGTCTCCAGAAAAACACGCAACAGTGGAAGAAGTTCCCGAAGTAAAGCAGAAAGAAACTGTAGAACATTCAAAGGTTTCTGATGCAGAAAAGGTACCAGCTAAAGATCAGTTTGCAGCAGTTGAAATAGTGGAGGAGATCCCCAGCATTCCAGAGTACACACAGAAAGAATTTGAGCAGGCAGAGACTACCACAAAACATGAGCCAGAGGAAGAAGAGGAGACTTACTATGAGTCACAGACAGACACTATTAGGGAGAGGACACCATTATCCCTGTATACCACTCACGTGAACAATCAGTTTGTTACCAGTATAGATCTAGACTCCAGGCCTGTTGTTGAGGGTGTTCATCCAAAGGATGACTCACAGGGTATCCGAGATGAACTGATTGATGAACACACAGCTGGGCCACCAGCGGAGCCGCCTAGTGTGCCATCTGCACCAGTTGAGCCCGTAGAAGAGCTAACAGCTGGTGCTCCTGATACAAAAGACGATCTTAGCTTAGTTTCTGCTGAAACAGAAAAACTGTCAATAAAATATCCAACCACAGAATTAGAAGTTATGGAAGAATGGCAAACAATTTATGAGCTACTCAAACGAAAACAGAAATTGAGGGAGGAGTCTGCAGCAATAGTGGCTCCTTCTGCTCAGCTTTTATTACCTTCTTCGAAACAGCCTTCTGGTGATGAACAAAACTCTCGTGTAGATGAAAATATTGTTTTGCTGCAGGATGCCATTAAGAAGAAGGATGTGGTGGTGGTGCAGAAGGTCATTATTACCATTGTGGAAACAGTCACCACCTGGCTCGAGACTATTGAGTACCGTATATACATCATCAGAAACACTGAGGACATCCATGAACGGGCCCAGCAGTACGAGCACCTTCGAAACGAACTCCACATTGTCGAGGAGAAGCTTACTATCTTAGAGGATGTGACTCAGTCTGCTGTAGAGATCCTTAGTGAAGAGACAATCGTAACTATCCGAGAAACAGTTCGGTACCTCCGGCAACAGGTTAGTCATGTTGAAAAAGTTCGTCAGGCAGAAGAGAAAGAACAAACACAGGACGAGGAAAGTTATGCCCAGTACCTGACTGCAGTTGATAATGCAGAGAAAGAAGTGTCAGATCTTAAATCACAGCTTGTTGTCATCCAGGACACACAGATGCAACCAGAAGAGAAAGTCGCCAAGCTTGAGATGATTCTGACAAGCAATGAGGACATGAGAGACCGCATAACCGAGTTGTTGCTCAGTTCGCATGACTTGAGACGAACTCCAGGACGTCAAGTTGGGACTGAGCTGGCGACCATCCAAACTGAACTGTGCGACATACACGACAGTGTTGAAAAAGAGTTGGACCGCATCCTGCGTCTCACCACAACCACCACCGAGTATGAGGAGACGCTTATGGAACTCACGCATCTCATAGAGATGGCTGAGAGCATTCTGGAGGCTCGGGTGGTGGCTCGAGACCTCGACCACCTCACGGACACCATTGCTAAGCACAAGAAGCTCTTCCTGTCCCTGCGGCAGTGCCAGAAGGTGCTGGAATCGCTGGACACGTGCTTGGAACCCAGCTCGCGCGTACACTACCAGCAATTGTACTCTCGCTCTTACCTGAGGGCCTCAGTGCTCCTCGACAAGGCCACGCAGCGGAACCATCAGCTCTCCCTGCTTGAGGCGGAGTGGCTACGTCTCCTGAGTCAGCTGACGGAGGAGGAAGCGTGGACCGTCACCGCAACGGAGCAGGTGACGCAGCTGCACACTGTTGCCGCTGACACGTACCAGGACAACACCAGCGCCTGCAAGGTGAGTGCCGCGCAGATCCGTCTCTTTGGATGTTTAAATCAAGCGTTGAAATTGATACATTTTCCACTTTTATAAAGTTCCAGTCGTTTTTCCATGAGTGTTCTATGTTCACCGAACTCATAATTATATTAATGCTAATCCATTCCCACATCACCTTAATATGACTTAACGTTCAAGGAATTATTTACTTATATATATGTTTATATACGTGTTTTTCTTTCATCATTGCTAAACTTCTTTAATTTATAAAACAAGCATCGTTATGAATTGCCACATTATTATAGTTGTCCATGATTTACCTGTTTCAGGAATGCCAGGTTTGTAATGAGCGGTATCTAACCCTATAATAACAAACCTCTCTAGTACAGAGGCACTTCCTATTTAATGACATGTAGCTGTACCGTGGATACAGCTTGAGGGAGCTTTATATAATCGCGCTGGGCTGTAGGCTTCGTTGTCTGTGGGTGGGTCATATATATATATTTTTTTTTTTTTTCATTTGTCAAAATTTTTAGTCTTATTTCTCTATTTTTTTCGTTGAATTTCTTTTTTTCATATTTTTTCTTTCTCTCTCTCTCTCTCTCTCTCTCTCTCTCTCTCTCTCTCTCTCTCTCTCTCTCTCTCTCCTCTCTCTCTCTCCTCTCTCTCTCTCTCTCTCCTCTCTCTCTCTCTCTCTCTCTCCCCCTCCCTCTCCCTCTCCTTCTCCTCTCCCTCTTCCCCTCTCTCTCGCTCTCTCTCCTCTTCCCCCTCTCTCTCTCTCTCTCTCTATCTATCTATCTCTATTCTCTCTCCCTATCTCTCTCTCTCTCTCTCTCTTCTCTTTCTCTCTCTGTTCTCTTTCTCTCTTTCTCTCCTCTTCTCTTTCTCTTTCTCTCTTCTCCTCTCTCTCTCTCTTTCTCCTCTCTCTCCTCTCTCTCTCTCCTCCTCCTCTCTCTTCTCTCTCTCTCTTCTCTCTCTCTCCTCTCCTCTCTCTCTCCTCTCTCTCTCTCTCTCTCTCTCTCCTCTCTCTCTCGCTCTCTCTCCTCTCTCTTCTCTCTCCTCTCTCTCTCTCATCTCTCTCTCTCTCTCTCTCTCTCTCTCTCCTCTCTCTCCTCTCTCTCCTCTCTTCTCTTCTCCTCTCTCTCTCTCTCTCTCTCTCTCTCTCTCGTCTCTCTTCTCTCTCTCTCCTCTCTCTCTTCTCTCTCTCTCTCTCTCTCTCTCTCTCTCCCTCCCCCTCTCTCTCTCTCTCTCCCCCCCCCCCCGTCATCTTTTATCAGACAGACAAACTATAGACTTAACATTATCCACCCGCACCCGCTCGGAGGCAACGGAACGTAGCCCACCGCTAAGTAAAGCCTCTCAGTTCGACCCGCTTGTGTAGCCCCCCTGGTGCTTTCTCTCCTCTCTCGATGTTCCAGCTTCAAGGGACTAAATTGTTTCATTCTTTTTTCAATGTAGAATGAAAAGAAAGAGGAAATGTATTTAAAGGACATGGTCCGTAAGTAAAGGAGAGGAGGAAGATTCATTGTGATGTATATTTTTTCAGCTTACGGTTCCATGGACTTTGCGCTGCTTCTCTCAATGCGCGAAAGACGGAAGGTTGTTAAAGCTCTGGCACTATTTTGATGATTTTGTTTAGATGCTTCTGTTTCAGATTACTAGATAAAGTTTGATAATAGAAGATCATTTAGGGATAATGTCTATTGAAAGAAATTAATTTGATTAAATATGCTTCATTAAAGTGCGATCTGAGGAGTTTTAAAGTTCTTCCTGAGAGATTACGTCTATCTGTAATCTACTGAAATCTTAAGAGCTTGAGAGAAGCGGCTTATAATCCATTTATTGTTTTTTCCCCTCAATCCGTCTTTCCAGATCCACTAATGGGAATGTTTTACTAAGAAACCTAATTGTCTCAAGGTTCCATCTATGGTTTCCTGTAGTTTACTTCATATATAGCCTGTACAAATGTTGCTTCACATTGCAGTTTAGTTTAGCCTTTCAAGTCTTTATTTTTTCAAGACATATAATTCAACTTCTGATAGTCTTCTTCAGCTATCTTCATTGTAAGCAACCATTATGTCTATCTGGTGAATATCTTCATTGTTAGAAGAGAATGAGTCTAGCCTAGTGCAATAGCTTCCTTGGTATATCCTTCGGGCATGATTAATGCTGTCTTGGGTGTAGGGGGTCCGGGGGGAGAGAGGAGGGGGCAAGTGACCCTCCACTTCCTCTCGCCGGACCATCCTGGGAGTGGAGGGGGAGGGAGGGGCAAGGGGAGGGGGAGAGGCTGATCTCTAACCACTTGGCGTGACTAACTAACGAGCGTGTGTACGTGTGTGTGCGGTGGCCTCGCAGGACCTCCTGGTGGAGAGCGTGACGCACGAGGCGCACACGGGACATCTGGTGGAGATGGTGCGCAAGGTGAGCGACGCCATCACGTGCACGCCCCTGGAGAGCCGGGTGACGGCGCACCACCAGCGGACCACGGCGCTGCGCCAGGACGTCGGCCGCCTGCTGGAGCGCCTCGAGGAACTGCACGTCCACTGGTCGGCCTACCAGACGCAGATGGACAAGCTGCAGGAGTGGTGCTCGCAGGCCAAGACGTCCCTGCATGAGATCGACCTCACGCCGCAGGACCAGGAGAAGCTGAGGGAGCAGTTCAACCAGATCTGGGTAAGTCTCCTCCCGGGGCGGAGTGGGAGGGGTCTCGCTGGCACTCTGGGGTCCCGCCTTTCATTTATTTGTGTTGAGTATTTATTTTATATGTTATGTGTTTACTTTTTGTTACCTTTGTTCTGTGACATTTTCAGCTGTTAAACTGACATATATGTAATTTATTTTATATATTTTTCCTAGAATCTCAAGGCCCAGTTTGATAGTCAAAGTGTATTGCTGAACGAATGCATGAACCACTTTGACAAGTCAGTGGGTCTTGTCAACATGACGGATGAAACCCATCAGAGGCACTTCCTGTCGCAGTTCAAGGCCGAGTGGCGTGAGCTTGAGGAGCTCCTGCAGCAGAAGGAGCAGGAGCTACACAGGATCCAGATCCAGGTAGTTCCAGTGCCTCAGCTGCTGTCGGAGACCCAAGACACGCTATCGGGGGTGGAGGTGGCCCTTCAGAGCATCGACACTCACGTCACCTCCATCCAGCAGCTCCGAGACATATCGGAGCAGTACAAGGTGCTGCGCATCAAGATCCTCAACAGCAAGGAGAACCTCGAACACCTGACCCAAGTCTCAACCTCCGAGGAAGAGCAGGACGAGGAGCTGCTCGATACGTTGGGCCGCCTCTCACTCACGTGCCAGGAGCTCATCTGCACCATTCAGCAGCGCATCGCCTCCCTGGAGTATGTGCTGGACCACGTGCAGAAGGCCGTGAGCCGCGTGGAACGCATCTCCCTCACCATGATGCACCTGGAGAGCACTCTCGAGCGCTGCCAGGCCGTCGATAAGGAGGGCGAACAGATCCTCAAGGCCGCCTTGCACTCGTGTAAGACCATCTTCGAGGGTCTCGCTCGTGCCGAGGAGGACATCAACAAAGTGAGGCAGTCCCTGGAGACCCTCCGCAAGGACCCGCACCACCCGTGCCACCTGGCCGAGCTAGAGGCCCAGATCGAGACCCTTCAGGCCAGACTCAAGTCCATCTCCGAGACCATCAAGGAGACCCGCAGCAACCTCAAGAGCCGCCTGGATGTGTGGCAGAAGTTCATGTCGTCGTCCGACGCCGTGGACAGCTTCCTGCAGGAGGTTGAGTACCTGATGGAAGGGGCGCCTGACCTGGCCTCCGTCAACCAGGACGCCCTCAAGAGTCACGTGGAGGAGCTGCAGAGACTTCAGGGCTCCATGGCCAGCAACGAGAGCCTGTTGGAGATGCTAAGGACGCAGGCCGTCCAGGTGGAGAAGAAGGACGTCGTGGAGACGCAGCTCACCCGCTGGAGCAACGTGTCACAACGCCTTGTTTCGGTAAGTTTTGTTTGCTTAATTGCATACGGAATTTCAGTGATGACGGAAGGCAAAAGTACTAAAAAGCTGGATATTTGAGAGCAAAGTAAATTCAAATTTGCCCACATCAGTTTCTTTTACAAGCAAAGAAATAGATAAGCAAATGTGTTGAACCTTTTAGGAGCTTTGTTTAATATTTCATGCAAGTAATGATATGGAGGAAAGTCTTCCATACTATAAAAGAGAGAAAAAGAATATACTCGAAAACACAATCCTTGCTTTCTCTGTCCACAGGTTATCTTACGCTACGAGACCGCCTTGGAGCTGTGGACCAGGTTCCTCACGGTGCAGGAGGAGGTCAAGGTGTGGGTCGAGTCCAAACTCACCCTCATCGTCTCCCTTCAGTCCCGTGGCATCGGAACCGAAGAACGAGGCCAGATTCAGGTAGAGTGAATGTTTCATAGTTCCTCTTTTCTTCCTTTTTTTCCGGAGATTTCGTGGATAAAGAAAATGTTGCAAGATTCTGTATCCATGCGTTGTTTTGTTTTACGTTGCGGGTGTCGAGCAGAGAATTTACCTTTTTTGTTTACTTTTCCTCATTTATATATATTGTGTGTGTGTGTGTGTGTGTGTGTGTGTGTGTGTGTGTGAATAGTTAAATAAATAAATATTTAAATAGATCGATGTGTGTGTGTGTGTGTGAGTGCATGTATAATTATCATATACCAAGTCGGTGAATCAGAATGTGCATCCAAGAAATGAATTCCAACAGGCGCAGAATCGTTGCGCACCAAACGTATTTGATAACAGAGGTTCCCGAGAGCGCAGGTCACGAGAGAGAAAACGTACAGATGTTGCATTAGTGGCCGTCCCGTCGCGCGTGAGCTCAGAACACGAACCGAACATGTTCCGGCTCACGAGGAAGAGGTCGTTGCAACGCAGGATTCGGAACACCGTAAGTTCCCCGGCAAAGGGAACTGTTCTTCAGGTCTTCCAACTTCGTTTATTCTGGAAAGGTCGTGGATTAATAGCGAGGAAGATGACTGCCGTTTTAAGAGGTGGTGTTATAAGTGGAAAAGACTGTGTGCGCTGAGAGTTTAAGTATATTTCGAAGGTAATATGAATGGAGGACGTTACAATGGAAGGGAATGTAAATAGCGCTGGTAAATGAACTGTGGACTTATTTCGTGAGGAAGGAATTCATGAATGATTCCAGTACATATTTCAAACTGCAAAAAAGAAATATTAGAAAGCTTCGTACATTAAACAAGATGTTGCGAATATAAACCTGATATATATACCAGACACGGGAGCTTTCGTTTCAGTGTAACGTATAAGCGTGATTTGAAAATACTACAAAACCCTCGATATTACATTTCAAAAGATAAATTCAATTAATTTCCTTCATACCTTACCACATCGAGAGAGAGAGAGAGAGAGAGAGAGAGAGAGAGAGAGAGAGAGAGAGAGAGAGAGAGAGAGAGAGAGAGAGAGAGAGAGAGAGACCGACAATGACACAAAATAACAAAGATACCGCAGATAGAACGTTCAAGCAAGTATCAAAGTCGCAGTTTATTGTCTCCCAACACGAGCACCGCCGCAAAGGTCAGAGAGAGAAAAAAAAGGAAGAAGAGGAAAAATATGATACGTTCCATGAAGGTCTTGAAGAAAAGCATAAAGAAAGGATCTTCAGGCATAAAAGGTCAAGGGCAGAGCTTAAGGGAGATGAGATGGCGGCCGTGTAGATGAATTCAAAATTATTTTAAATGATATTGGCGATTGGTTCTGATGGCGATTAGGGTCAAGACAGTGATGGTGATTGTGGAAAGGGTATGATTAATGGTGTTGGTGGTGGTAACGAGGAGAAGGATGATAATGGTATTGTATGATAAGAAATAGACTGTGATAAACTTAAAGGAAATGTATCTGTTGCCATATGAAGATCAAGCGCTTAACCTAAAGGAGAAAAATGGCATAGCTTCGAACCTTTAAGCCCTCCCCCCCAACCCCCCGGCCTCCTCCCCTTCCCGTTTCACCCCATTCCTTCAACTCTCACTTCTTTAAATCCCCCCCCACCCCCCTCTTCCCTCACAACTTCAGCTTCCTTCTCCCCTTTCCCTGGCCCCTGCCCCTTCAACTCCCCCCCCCACACTACCCCGCTCTCCCCCCTCCCCTTCCCACACTTGAAATACGTTTTCTTCCCGCCTAAAGAAAACGGAAAAGAAAGACAAAGAAGGAGACAGAAATTAGATGGATAAATACTGCATGCAAGATGAAGAAGAAAAGGTGAATGAAAAAAAAAATGTATACAAGAACAAAAAAGTAAAGAGATTTAAAAAAAAACTACATATAAGTCTCCTCATATTCGACCTTTTAGTAAATCTGCAGAGCGTGGCATTACTGAAACACCAACGAGTTTTTGTTTTCTTGCTTGGAAAAAAATGGAAAAAAAAACAGGACGAAAATGGCGGTTTACTACCAGGCTCTGATTTGGATCTCTCTCTCTCTCTCTCTCTCTCTCTCTCTCTCTCTCTCTCTCTCTCTCTCTCTCTCTCTCTCTCTCTCTCTCTCTCTCTCTCTCTCTCTCTCTCTCTCTCTTATTTCTCACTCATTATTTTTAATTTTTCTTCTTTCTCATATGCTCGGTTTTCTTATTCTTCGTGTGTGTTGTGTGTTGTGTACGTACATTTCCATTTTTGTGTATGTGTGTACGTACATGTCCATTTTTGTGTATGTGTGTACGTACATGCAAACCCAACATCTATTCGCGGGAGAATTTGCATATAAGTGTCGTTCTGGAGGGAAGGGCGGCTCCCCTCTGCGGTGTCGCCTTCAAGCCTTCGAGACGAGGAACCTAAAGAATCCAGTCTCATTGGAGGAGGAACGGGAAGGGGTCTAATGTTTCTTCTTCTTCTTCTTCTTCTTCTTTGGTTTTCTTCTTTTGTCTCCTTTTTTTCGTGGGGTGGAGAGGAAGAGGGTTGTTTGCTTCTTTTTTTTCTCTCTCTCTCTTATTCCCTTTCGAAGGAATGAAGGAAGGGTGTGGGTATCTTATGGAATTTTCTTAGGTTTCTTGTTTATCATTCTTTTTCTCCCCTTCTTATTCCTCCTGCTCTTGCTTCTTCTTCTTTCTCTTCCTCCTCCTGCTCATCCTCTGATCCCACCTTCTAACATTCTCCCTCCTTCTCCTCTTTCTTCTCCAACTCCTCCATCTCATCCTACTCCTACTCTCCTCTCATCCTTCCCCTCCTCTACTCTTAATCTTCCTTCTCATCCTCACCCTGCTCTTCCTCCTCCTCCGCGTCTGCCTATTCCTCCTCCTCTACTCTTACTCTTCCTTCTCATCCTCACCCTGCTCTTCCTCCTCCTCCGCGTCTGCCTATTCCTCCTTCTTTGTTCGGTAAGAGGGAAGGAGGAGAAGGGTGTTCGTCATCGGCTATAAATGCTCAGTTCATCCGGGTCTTTTTCGAATCGAATCCGGTCCTCCCAGCGTGAACCGAATCCCGATTATTTGTGGTATTTGATTCTCTTTTGTTTTTTGGTTTTTTTGTTTTTCGTATCCGTTCCGTTGGGAATGATAAAGAGAATGTGAAAAAGGAATATAGGGATTATTTGTGGGATTTGATTTTCTTTTTTTCGTATCCGTTCTGTTGGGAATGATAAAGAGAGAATGTGATAAAGAGAGGGTATAGGGATAACTGCGATAAATAAGGAGAGGCGGTGGGTTCTCCGCGTGGGAGGAAATTGCGCGGTTTAAAGGAGCCGGTGCGATTGCTTCGTATCGGTTAAAAGTCTGGACGAGACCGGCGTGTGGGAGGGGGCAGTGTGTGTGTGCGTGTGCGTGTGTATGTGTGTGTGTGTGTGTGTGTGTGAGAGAGAGAGAGTGTGTGTTGTGTGTGTGTGTGTGTGTGTTGTGTGTGTGTGTGTGTGTGTGTGTGTGTTTTCTTGTACACTCGGAGCATAAACGAATAGGAACGTGAGGTTAAAACAAACGGTGAGTCACATGTACTGTCTTTATGCATGCAACTGACATTATTGGTCAAGTCACAACGGCGGACTTTGCATCACAAAACCGTGTCGAACGCAGTTGGTTGATCATGAACACTTCATGAATATGTTGCGCAAATTCTAACGACTTTTCTTGCTTTTGACTTTATCCATCAATCTGCCTTTTCCCTCGTCCGTTCATACGTGTAGAGAGAGAGAGAAAATTTAGTAGATGGGTGTGAATAGACAAATAGACAAATGCTTTATAAAGGTGTGTGTGGATTTCTGTTTGTTTATGGATATGCATACATAGACATATGCATACATGTTTAAACATGTGTAAGGCCAAGTTTATGTATGACGTTTATACTTAAACATGTATAGTATTATATTTGTATGTGTATATTTTCTAATTTATGACAGTAGATGAGCACGCATGAACATATTAGACAGACACACACACACGCATCATACACACATCACATACACACACACACATCAACTCTCTCTCTCTCGTCTCTCTCTCTCTCTCTCTCTCTCTCTCTCTCTCTCCTCACTCTCTCACACACACACACACACACACACACACACACACACACACACACACACACACACACACACACACACACACACACACACACACACAACATACACACACACCACACACACACGCGCACACACGCAAACGCACGCACACGCACGCACACGCACGCGCACACACATGCACACACGCACGCACGATGTAGGGGTCCCTTCTCATTTTTGTCGTCAAAGGCACCGCCCACTTCGTCCGAACTTGCGATCGATCTATGATTTTGATAATTTATTCCTCCCGTACGAGCTTTTTCGCTGATATTTTCAAATTTTCTCATTTCTTCTCCACACATATAACATAACTAGCCACTCGAGTAAAGGGAAATAAATACATTTATTTACTTCAACAGCATAAGGAACATATGGGCGGGCATGGATCGGCACAAGGCGGGTTGTTTGACTCACGTGAGGGGAGACAAGGAAGGTGCCAGATATCACATTCCGTTTTCTATTTATAACGACCACAGACTCCTACAGATGTGTTTTAGCTCATAACAAGGTCGTGAATATAGAACGGATATCCACCGCGAAGTAGATTAGTATGTTGAAAGAAATTAAATAGGATGATGAAATTAATTATTTTTTTGAGATTCGAACGCGCAGAACGAGAATTATATATTTAAAAAAAAAAGAAACGCGTATATAATGATTGACGTTCTTACCACCGCGTAGGTTGTAAGTGCCGAGGGAGTTTTATTCTCTCCCTCCATCCTCCGCACATGAAAAGGGGAATAAATGGTATCTGGCAGTAGTAGGAAGAAGGAGAAGGGGCAAGGGAGGCAGTGTTGGGTAATACCCGGCCAGTGACGTACCGCTCCCCCTCGTGGTAAGGGTAAGCCTGGCGCTCGCGAATAGTTGTGCTATGA